AATATTTTGTTTGTTTCATAAGTCTGATGCAGGCAGATATAATTACATCTACATTATAATGTAGATGAGACCTCACAGGCTTCAATATATTGACAACATCAGTTTTTACTATTCTGAACTCCTTAGAGCCTGTCAAGATATCCCATAACTGTCTTCTGCTCAGCCCCAACTGCCTACCGAATGCTCGTGCAGCACCGGCCGCCCAGGTAAGCCGAGGCAGTGTCCCCAGCAGTGTCTTCCATCAAGGCAGTGTGCCAAGTGCTCCATTCTCTGATTTTATTCCACATTCACAGAGGTAGAGCAGGAACTCAGACTGTGTGTTTCTCAACATCTTAAGTCTCACTTATTGTGAATAAAGTCAGAACAAATACTTGAGGTACCACCTTAGACTTTGTAAGTAACAGTGGAAAGTAGCTTAGCTCAGGCAGTAACAAGATAATCATGGTATCGTACTGAACACTCAGAAATACTTTTACTGTCACATTCTCCTTCCCTCTGTTCCTCTCCTATGTCTCACCAGTAGTGTACTCCCCATGAAGTGTGTGTTGGTACGCTCAGTGACGCATATGAAAGACATCTCGGCCTCACTGGGTTCTCACTGGCAGGGTTGAACTTCATTATTCCTCCTTGGTCCAGGCTCCAGTTCAGACTCTAGGGCTAGAAACATCGCATTATTAGATTTTCCAAATAATACAGAAGTAAAACAAAAAGCTTTTTTTTCTTTCTTTTTTCTGCTATTTTCAGACTTGTTGTTGTTCAGCTCTGCACAGTTCAAATGGAACGGCAATTTGTATAGAAAGGTCCCCCACAATGCAGGAATACTGCAGCAAATGGGACATAGCAGACATAACTGCCAGTCATTTGCTTTCTCTTTCCCAGCTGCACATTCAACAGCCTGCGGCACTGCGCGAGCGCCGGGGAGCCGATCAACCCCGAGGTGATGGCCGAGTGGAAAGCATGGACGGGGCTGGATATCCATGAAGGCTACGGGCAGACAGAAACTGTATGTTGAGCTTGACAGGTGAAAAGCATACGCTTTGCAGGTACAGCAATAAATTCTACTCGGTTTGCCAAGAAAAAGTCAATAAAAAGATTGTACAAAAGGTTGTACTAGGTTTACATACTCCTCCTCACTTCACCACATTCCAGCGACACAAACTCATCACCACTATTACAACTGTTGTGACTTTTAGGGAGAAATCAATTCCAATATGCAACAATGAAAACACAGTTTTTTCAACTCATAGGACAAGCGTAATGGCTCCCCAAAAAATCCAAGGCCTGCTCTTCATGTGAGATGCACTCTTCACGACCTCCTTCCAAATTCTGCTTTGAACTGTATCTTTGGAATGCTCACACTGTTTGCAGCTCTGGGCAAGATTTCCAGAGAGTCATTTATTTCACTGGATGTATGATTATAGTGAAGGGATCATTATTTCCTACAGAGGTTCGCTATGTTAGCTGAATCTCTAAACCTAAGCTAAAGACTGAATATACACGTCACTGTTTGACTGAGAAAAATATTTGTTACAGGTGCTGGTCTGTGGAAATTTTAAAGGAATGGAAATTAAACCTGGTTCTATGGGAAAGCCATCTCCAGGGTATGATGTCAAGGTATGGCACCTCATGTAGCACTGCCATCTCTCAGATCATCATTTGCCATCAAAGAGGTTTGAGAGCTTTAGCATGGCACTGCGCTATGCAACATCATTCCACAAGGAATGGAAGTGTGAAACAAGTAGGTTACTGCCCCAAACGCAGTGTGCAAGTGAACAGTCACACCTCCCCCTTGCACCAGCCTCAGTGGGATGACATAGATGACAGCCCACTATTGGATGGGAAGGCAATGATGAAGTCATTTTTACTTTGTTTACTGAGTAAACAAAGAGAGCAAACATTTCCTTGGGGATGACAGAACTGATGAAGTAGATACTAGCAATATTTGCAATATTGTTTGAGATTTTTAGTACCTTTCTAAGCTTTTTAGCAGCTTCCTCTGTTTTGATGTTCATTACTTAACCTCTTTGGGGTCTTACTAACTTCATTACATGTTTTCATAGTACTTGGAATTGCTCAGATAAAAAAACTGTGCGAGGTACAGTGGATTTGCAGTAAGCTGATGCTGTAATTTCAGGGTCAGACTTACCTCCAGTGCTCCAAATAATTTTCCAATAGATATTTCAATGGAATATTTTAAATGAGTATCCAGATTCTATAATATTAACATAATGCTTTTCAGTTTGGCTCAGAGATAATAAAGCTGTGTTTTGCTTATTTTTAGATTATAGATGAAAACGGTAATATTCTGCCTCCTGGAAAAGAAGGAGAGATTGCCATCAAAGTAAAACCTACAAGACCACTTTTCCTCTTTACTTGCTATACTGTAAGAACACTTCTCCAGCTAAAGCAGATGCCATGTTAAGCCTCTGCCAAGGAATTCGTGCCTCGTTTCATTTACATAAACTGTTTAGATGTCTGAAAATCCCTGGGAAGGAAAGAATTTCCATTTCTTTTCATGCAGCTGCTTAGTCTACTTTCACAAATTGTTAGCTGGTCAATGATAGTGCCTCGCCTAACAAGCTGAATCCACTTTCTTTTGATTATTTCCTTAATAAAAAGGGAAATCTCTAACAGCTTCCTCCCCAAGTCCCCAGATACCCTTTGGTCAGAGGGCTAGGAACCCCATCTGAGAAGTGGGGGATACTGTTCAAGTCTCTTCAGTGCAGAACTGGGCTCCATCTAGTGTTTGAGCATAGCATTTTTTGTTTCCATTTTGGTTCAAATGTTCAGTCCCAGAATCCAAAAAACAAATGCATAGTGCTCTCAGTTCTTACAACATAATACATTTTATGGATGCTATCAGCCTATTATCATGGAATCATTAAGGTTGGAAGAGACCACTGAGGCCACCTAGTCCAGACATCAACTTGTCTTGCTTTATGGGCTGATAACAGTGAATTAATAATCTGTTGTCGTTTATTACAATTGGTTATTATTAATGTCCCACTGAATATTCCTGTTGAACACGAATCTACTAGAATGCAATTTATTTTATTTTTCAAGTAGCTTTTATGCAAAACACAATTTAATATTTCCTAGGATGATCCAGAGAAAACAAAGGCAACAGTCCGTGGGGATTTCTATGTTACTGGAGACAGGGGGCTCATGGATGAAGATGGATATTTCTGGTTTGTTGGAAGAGCTGATGATGTCATTAATTCTGCTGGGTAATTCAACACTGATTAACAATACCTCTGCCAGCACAAATAATAGAGCTGACTCAGATAAGATGTGTTTATGTGTTTCGAGTACAAATAAAGAACCTTTACCTCCATTTTAAAGATACCGCATCGGACCGTTCGAAGTAGAAAGTGCTCTAATAGAGCATCCTGCAGTGGTGGAATCGGCAGTTGTCAGCAGTCCAGACCCCATCAGGGGAGAGGTAAACAAGCAAAGCACATGTTAGGTAAAAAGGAGCTTTATGCATACCGCGGCTGAGGAAGACCAACTTCCAATGGAAATCTTTGAACTAAATAAAATCAAATTGGCATTTCTACTCTATCAGATATGGCTAAACCAGAAAAACAGACCACGACAATTACCCCACATCCAACATAACCAGAGCACAATTTGAAGCTTTTCTTCTGCATTCCAGTATTTCCCCTTTTGACTATCTCCATATTCCAGACAAACACATAACACTGCCATAGCTGTTTGCATCCCTTGTATTTGTTATTCTGCAGTTTGTACACAAATGTTTGGTACATGTAAGTTTAACCAGTCTTTCAAATCTGACTGTTGTGTGATGTTTCATCATTACTTCACCCTCCGTTCCCTTATTGTATTCAAGGTAGTGAAAGCCTTTGTTGTTTTAACGCCCAGCTACATCTCACATGATCCAGAAAAAATGATGAAAGAGCTACAAGACCACGTTAAGAAAGCTACTGCTCCATACAAGTATCCTCGGAAAGTAAGTCATCAGTTACCCAAATACTATAAGTAATTGTCATGACTATAAGAAAGCATGTATCACAGAATTGCCAGGGTTGGAAGGGACCTCAAGGATCATGAATCAACTATTATGTCACTTGTAGGTTATGTCCCCAAGGGGAAGTCACATTTGAAATAAGTTATTTTGTGTTGTAATTTCCTCCCTTTCCCATTAGATGGAGTTTGTTCGAGAGCTGCCAAAAACCATCAGTGGAAAGATCCGAAGAAATGAACTACGCCAGAAGGAGTGGAGGAGATATTAGAATGCTTTGGGTTTTGGATTGTGTTATGTTTTAACATAGCATGTGGGTTCTGGTGGCTTTTTGCTTTGTTTGAACAAAATAAGATAATGCTGATTTACACAGTGATGTGAAGACACATAATGACTCTCTTAGTTGACATTTTCACTAAGTCTCACCTGACCCCCAGCACTCAGCTGCCCTGGTGCCACATGGAGAGCACGAAAACAGGCAGGCTGATACGAACGACACAAAAGTTGTCTTATCAAGAGGACAGTAGATGATGTGTTAAATAAACTTAATGAACCATCACTAGCATTTTATCTTTATTATTATTTAAATGAGAAAAATCACAAGAGTTTACTACAACACTTGCTTCAAGAATCACTTCCGAGCAGCATGATAACTTACAAATACATACTTAAAAGTTACAGTTAAAAATCTCTACAAGTACATATAGGAAAAATAGTATAAAAGCAAAATATACATCATTAAAATGTTTGAGGACTCAATTAGCAAAGAATTTAAGACACGTGATGATGAAGTAGGAGTTTAAGATGTCTAACAACAGCTGCTCACACCTTAACTGCAGCACAATGATTTGTTCTGTCTCACTCCAGTCATGTTAACGTGGGCATGTCTGTATGCTTAAACAATTGCAATTTTCATCCACATTAGCCAACCAGCATTATCTTCATCCTCTGCTGAGAACACGTATCTGACATCATTGGGCTGCCCCAGTTTCATTATCTAACTGAGCTTCAGATTCAAACCACCAAATTAAGAAGCTTCAAGTTCTCATAGATGGTCTGAGGAACAAAGATTTGTTGGAATAATTTCCTGAAGTGTTGGGGCACGTTCCAAGAGAGGTCAAAGCATCTACATTCATGGCGATATCACGAGATTTCTCTTTTAGAAATGCGTTTTCCCACTTGAAGTATCCACAACTTCGCTTACTACCTTCACGCCTGTCAACAGGACAAGAGAAAAAAGCCTTGCCATGATTTGGACCTGCATTTGACACATAGAGCCTTTTAGCCCTTCGACCACAGTTACACAGAGGAGGGGTTAGTTTTTCATTTTTCACAGCTGTTACAGACTGATTCAGATTGACTGCGGAGCTCAGAATGGTGCGAGATGCTTTGGACAAATTCAAATTTCTCAGAGGCAAGGCATGATCTGAAGACGCAGTTTTCTCTTGATAGACAGCAAAAGGCTGTTTTTTTGCTGGTGGGAGTGCTGTTGGACTAGTTGGCTTTCTTTTGGGAACCTCAGAAGGAATAGAATAATTTCTCATTAATACTGATTGAGATGAAATAGCATTTACTTTTGCAGATGGCATCTTAAAAGCAGAAAGATTTGAAGTCTGCCTTTGTACTGTTCCTACATTATAGATTGTAGTATCAGGACTTTTGTAAATGATAGATCTGGGGTGTTCAATGGGTACCAGAGTTTTCCCCAAACTTTGATCACCTGAACTGATTGCAGCCGATTGCTTTGGAATTGTTTCTTCTTCAGACACAGTTAAGAAGTCTGTACTTGAGTCCTCCTTAGATTGAACGCAGTCTGAATTTGGTTCAGATTGAGATTTAGGTATTAGAGCTACATCTTCCCAGTCAGTCAGCAGAGACAAACAATCAGAATGAGTGCCTGTATCCTCACTGGAGGTATTAACTGAGGAGATGGTGGTGGAGATGAGTACTAGTCCTGACCCACACACTGGAGAGCTGTACCTTGCTGTGTTCATGAGATGCCCACTGTTCAATCCTTGCTGAATGCCTGGTGATAAATTACTGTGAGATTGCTGTGCACATCCAAGAAGAGGAAATCTCTCAGCAGATACTGTGGAAGAGCTTTGGACTTCCTCATGGCAACCAGATCGTGAGCTGCTGCCAGATACAACACGCATGTCTGCAGAGCAATCACTGCAAGTGGCCTGTTCTGCAGATTGTACATGAGAATTTACCATAATTCCAGCAGTACCGTTGTGGTTTCTCTCTGCCAGAGAGCTTGCTTTGCAAGGTCTATTTCCGGATGTTTCAAGGCTGCTGCTACTTCCTGGCAGAGTCTTGTCAGCAGAGTTGGTATTCAGCGTTCTGGAAATTAAGTTCTTCCTAGGACAGGACTAGGGAGTCCATTAACAAAAAGAGATTTTGGAAAGTAAATACCCAGAAGCTTTAGGAATCACTGCACAAAACTAACAAGTGTGTCAGCCTAAGGGTGTTCAGTTCATACTCAAGATTCACCCTTCACCTGTATTTCAGGCTACAAGACTAGTAGAGAAAAGATATGAAATAGTAACCAACCTTATCCAAAGATTTAGTAATCTTCAGCACACACCCATCACAAATCAGCCTCCAAGCAAGGCAAGCAGTATTCCGAGAATCATCCAACCCTTCAAAAGTATGGTTATATATTAACATCTTCCTTTTAATCTATTACTGCTGACAGTTCTTAGTAGAGGACAAGTAAAATTTATGTACACTAGGAAAAGTAACATTTACACACACTTAAGAACTCATATAGCTGAATATATATCCACAACTGTTAAAATCCTTCCTGTTTTGTATTAACCATGTCAAAAATTAAAAAAATAAATATTATGTTTGTATTCTTTCATGCTCATAAGCTACTTATGAGCTATCAGGTAAGATCAAGTTTCCTTTCATGCCTGAGCAACTCAGAACTTGATCTTGTGGAACACACACACACAGAAGAGCTCTGGGAGGGAATTCTAAAATTAAGCGTGAGAATAGAAATGACAAACTCTGACCTTTCAAGCACTTCTACTTGGATGGTTTGTTTGACCAGAACATTGTATATCAGAGAGAGGGGTTCATCATATCACACTTACCAGAATGTTCCCGTCCTACAAAAGCCAGTCCCAAATCCTGCAAAGCACCACTCAGCCCTTTAGGTTTTCTGTTGTAGAAGGCCTAAGGAGAAACATGCATTTGGTTAAGATGCAGCAGTTCACAGTGGAGTGAAAAACACTTCCAAAATATCACCTAATGAATAACAAATCTCCCACTGCCATTGTGCAAGTCAGACATCTCCATGTTACCACTGTGATAAATGAATATAAAAAAGCATGTGCATTACCTATAGCAGACTAGAATAGAAAGAACAATGATTCCTTCCTCTTCCAATCTTAAACTAATCCACTCTACCTTCGCTCAGCAATCATCCAGTTGCACTTCATGCCTTACATCAATAAAGGCCTTAACAGAAAGAACAGCCTTGAAGAATACAATTATAATATATCTTGAGATGCTTAAACTGTTGTATATATATATTTTTTAACACTTATGCCTTTGCAATATGCATATGCCAAGTATATTAAATAAGGAAAGGTATGACTCCCTGGTTCTCCCCTTGATCACGTTATTTGACTTTAAAGATCTAAATCTGCTGCCTGAGCTCCAGCACTGGAGACAGGCAAACTCCTGGATTGCTCCTTTGAATATTTCCTTGGCTGCACAGGACTCCTGTTTGTGTGTAGACTATGGAAAACCAACCAAGAAAAAACTCACCACCATAAAAACAATCTTTCATTTCTTTAGTAGACATCCATTTTCAGTGTTACTAGCACTGCTCTGATCAGTACTAGTACTGTTCTGGTCAGAATGCAGTTCCCACACTAGGTCCTGATGTAGCTGCTGAGCAGACAAGGACCACTATTTTCTAGGTAGCAATGGAAGGCAGTAAGAGCAGTGTAGGAAAAACAGGGAAGTCCAGGCAGCAAGCAGAGCAACAGATGTCAGGCAAAGAATGGCTCAAAAATTCTCCAATGGTTATCAGTAATTTGTCTAACAACATGTGGCTTTCCTAGCATTATGATTTCTATTAAAATTCACAGTCGTAGGGCATGCAGTTTGTTATTTGTGCAATAACACAGAATGAAAACAGTTGGTAACTAATCACTGGAACACGGTGCTGCCTGGTAGGTGTGATACAGTCAGCTTCTGAAGTTATAACACACACCCATGTTCCAGCTTACTGCTTTTCTCACCCTGTACGTTGCTTTGAGATCAATCCAGGAATTGAAGATGTCAGGTTTCCGTAACTGTTTCCTCTTACATTCGTAGTGCAAGCACACGCCCAGGTCCCAGTCTGCACAGGAAAGACAAGAGCAAGCAAAGAATTAACATTTCTTTAATCCTAACGTCTGCCAATTGGGCATTATTCTCACCTGAACGAGCCAGAAGTTACCAAACAAGCAAACAAACCGACAGCTGGGCAAGAAGGCGCACAGCCACCTACAAATCAGCGGCAGCCCTGCGATGGGGCAGTGAGCACTGCTGCCTTACAGCCATCGGTGCAGGGCAGTCCCACAACGGGCACAGATAACAGTCCCACCAAGGGCTCCTCTTTAATGTGCGCCGCTTTGTGCAACAAGCAAAAGGGAACGTTGCCTACCTGTCCAGGTAACAAAAGCACACAGCTGTGTCTCAGGAATGGCATTACTTGGGATTTCTGAGACAATCAGAAATTTCTTCTCCTTCTGTATCTCCTGAAGCCACTTCAAGAATTGTGACAAGCAGATGTGCAGAGGGACTCCTTCGTCAACTTGTTTCTTTGGGCAGCAGACAGAGAAATACCCGCGTCAGTACGCACTGCAAGCGGCTGGAGGCCCGGCTGCCTTCGGCCCTTTCAAGGAGCACCGAACGGTGTAAAGTCACAGCGGGATACCTGCGTGACGCCGGTCAGCGCCGTGCAGAACTCGGAGAGCACGGGCTGCTCCTGCGGCTGCACGAAGGTGTGGAACTCGGCCTCGATCCGCCCCGTGGCGGCGTTCAGCAGCACGGCCGGGAACTCAACTGGGACGGAGCACAGCGAGCGGCGGGAGGGCGGGGGGAAAACACCGCGCCCGAGTCAAGTGCGGCACGCGGGCAGCCCGCAAACGCACCGACAGACATCGCACCCCACGCACAAACGCACCGACAGACATCGCACCCCACGCACAAACGCACCCCGCACCCAGCCGGGCGCTCCCGGCGCAGCGCTCACTGATCTCGGGGCGGCGCTGCCGCGCGTCCCGCCAGCAGGTGGACTCGAAGTCGAGGACGAGCAGGAAGCCGAATCCGGATCGCCGCTCCGTCGCCCCGCCGCTCCGGCCGCTCCGCGCCATCCCCAGCAACCTGCGGGACGGGGCAGCCTCAGCGCCGGCCGAGAGGACACCGCCCCGCCCCGGAGGAACGCGGCCCGCCCCGGCGGGACGTGCCGCGGCCCGCACCTGGCCAGCCGCTTCGTCGCCATCTCCGCGCTTCAAACCGCCCGCGGTTCCGCCCCGCTCCCCGCTCCCCGCCCGCGGCTGCGCGCTCCCCGCGCTCTCCGCGCAGGCGCCGTCGGCTCGGCTCGGCTCCTCGGCGCGGCCATGGCGGGGCGGATCGGCCGCGTGAACGGCTGCAAGCGGACCGCGGGAGGGGACGCGGAGGGGCTGCCGGCGGGCGGCAAGAAGAGCAGGGCGGCGAAGGTGAGCCGTGACGGAGCGCGGCCCGCAGCCTGCGGCACGGCGCGGCTCCTGGCGTCAGCGGCCCCGGGACGGGCGGGGCTCCGCGTGCGGGTGCCGGCATCGGAGAGCGCCGGCTGGTGGGTCGGAGGGGCCTCGCAGCCCCCGGCGCGCCCTGCCGCCTTCCGGCTGCCCCCAGCTCCGGCTGCCCCGGCCGTGGCTCTGAGCCCCAGGGATGGGCGCCCACGGCTCCGGGCAGCGGTGCCAGCGCCTCACCGCCCTCTGAGGGAAGGGTTTCCCCCACAGCTCACCCACACCCGCCTCTTTTAGCTTAGACTCTTTTCTCCTTGTCCTCTCCCTGTCTGCTGGTGTAAAAGGTCGGTCTGCCTCCTGTTCATCAGCTCCCTTTAAGTCCTGGAAGGCAATGAGGTCTCCCTGCAGCCTTCTCCTGTCCATGCTGCACAGCCCCGGCTCCTCAGCCCGTCTCCATAGCAGAGGTGCTCCAACCTCCGAGCATCTTCATTGCCTCCCCTGCCCCGCTCCAACAGCTCCCACCCTTCCCGTGCTGGGCCCCAGGCCTGGACGCAGCACTGCAGCTGGGGGCTCCGAGGGCAGAGCAGAGGGGGACAATCCCCTCCCTGCCCGCTGCCCCCCTCTGCTGACGCAGCCCGGGATGCAGTCGGCCTTCGGGGCTGCGAGCGCACACTGCTGCCTCACGTCCAGCTCTTGGTCCACCAGAACGCCCACGTCCCTCTCCGCAGGGCTGCTCTCTGTGAGCTCTTCTCCCAGCCTGCACACAGCTGGCATTGCCCCGACCCAAGTACAGCACCCCGCACTGGGCCTTGCTCAACCTCAGCAGGTTCTCGTGTGCCGCTTCTCCAGCCCGCCCAGGTCCCTCTGGGTGCTCTGTCCAACACAGAGATAAGGATGTGGTGCAGGACCATGTTGAAGGCCTTGCACGACTCCAGGCAATCATCAGTTGTTCTTCCTTTGTCCACCAGTCCACCACTTACCGCATTACGGAAGGCCACCACATGGGTCAGGCATGATCTGCCCTTGGTGATGTCCTTTTGTTATGTAGTAAAATACTATCCTGGAAGATCCTTACAGGTTAAGTCAGTTCCACGACCAAGCAGTCACTGGAGTTCTCCTAGTAGTGTATATGCTTGCCAATCAGCTTGGGAGAGCTGGTGAATTTGGGATCATGGCTTAAAGAACTGCTGTGCTAATTTGTATGGTTTTGCCCTGTCTCTGACCCTCTCTACCTGCAGCTCCTTTGGATGCTGTGAAACACTTCTTGCAGCAGGGTCAGTAAATGCTCCAACAGAGGATGCAGTTACACAAAGCACATGGGTTCTGGCAGAGCCTGTGTGAGACAGCTGCATGCAGCTCATATAAATGGAGACATCTGCATGTGGTGGTCTTTGCAGGACATCTCTGAAGTATCTGGGTTACTGAGATGCTGATGCTAATGTTGAAATGTGGGCTCAAAAGGGACTTTAATGAATGGAAGAGTTATTTTACATGCTGTTGCTTGTGCCCAAACACTACACTGTTTTACTGTATAATTCAGCTCCTGCTCCACAAACGTGTGTGGTCACACAAAACCTTTCTTCACAGGCGTTTTCCTTCTTACAGGAGAAGTCATCTCGCTTGTCTGCAGCCTTGCTTGGTGAGGACTGTGAGATCAGCCCGGAGCAGCTGTACGAGCTGCTACAGTACGCGGCCCTGGGGAAACACCACAATGCAGCCCAGCCCAGGTACAGCACCTCTGTGCTCGGGAGGCAGCCCTGTGCTGTGCCTCTGAAGGCACGCAGGCAGTGTGTGCTCTGGAACTCTTGCAAGGCCACACTGACAGCCTGCATTACATAGATGCGGTTCTTGTTAGGCTTGGTTGCAGACCAGAATTCCAGAATTCTGACAGTAATTGTGACATTCCATACTTTTGTTTCATGCAATCACAGAAACAAAATTTGTGGAGCAGCAGCTTCACACGCCAAGAAATGTGGTGTTAAACTGGTAGCACTATACTTTTTTGTGCCAGCTGTATTTGAAGTGTTTTCTCTGGAGTGTTTTGGGAAAGCCTATTTAGTCACTTTGCCCTTTTTCATCTTCTCAGTAACTCTTCTGTTTCCTGCTGAAAGACTGAGGGGGTATATAGCCTTGGTTGGCTCAAATATGGTGACATGCAGCGTGTCTTGCAGCAAAGCTACATGCAAAAAACACTTCAGGTTTTCAGTACTGAATAGAAAATGGTTTTGTGAATTTTTCATTTTGATGAAGTAATCTTAGTTTGATTGACCAGATTGCATCATTACAGCGGGAGGTACTGGTTTGTGTTTATATTCTGGTGCATATAAATGAAGTATGGTAAGACCTGAACCAACACCTGAGACAGGAGTGGAGTTCAGTTACAACTCATTCTTTCTCTGTCTCTTGTGCTGTGTCCAGAAATGTGTGGCTGGCTGAGACAAGCAACACGAGCCTCTTCTCATTAAAGTCACTTGACGCTTTGCCATTGATGGACTTAAAAGCTGGTCTGGCTCCAAGTTTGTTTCTAAGAGTGCATGATGATTGTGTTGCTTTGAGTTTTATTTATTCAGTTATTTATTTGTTTTATTGCAGCTGGTGCCATATTTATCACCAGAGCCATCTGGCTGGGGTTGTGGTTATTGTTCTGCATGAAATGAGTCAGCTCCATTTCTACAAATTCTATTTACAGTTCAAACACCTCCGAAAAGTGTTCCGGCATGTAAGTCCCTGCACTGTTGTTGTCTACTAAAATTCTTCCAGTGCTGAAGCCTTGTCCCAGTGACTGCTTGCCACAAAGAGATTGTGGCCTTGCCAGCAGGAAATGGCCACCTTCGATTGCTCACCAAGCAAATGAGAGCATCTCTGTAGGCTCTGACAGCTCAAGCTGAGGCCACGGCTGCAGTGTGAGAAACAGATTTTCAAGACTTAGATCTCTGCAGCCTTACCAGGTGAAATGTCTGTGCTGTGTTTCAGTCCTCAATGCTTCTGACTCCTTCAGGCTGCCTGGGAGATTAAAAATACCTCTGCTGAATATTTGAAATATTCTCTTGGATGTGAGTGAGGAGATCTTAATAGAGTCATGCTGTTCCCTTCCCACTGATTGAAAAATCTGTGTGTGCTCTATGTCAAGTTTCTCCCATTTATTTCAAGATTATTAAGAGTCATTTTAATTTTCTGAGCTGCAAGCAAGTCTAGGAAGGAGAAAAGGGAAGGAGGGAATGAAGGAGGGAGGGAAGGAAGGAAGGGGGAAGGAAAGAGGGAGGGAAGGAAAGAAGGGGGAAGGAAAGAGGGAGGGAAGGAAGGAAAGAAAGGAGGAGTGAGGGAAGGAAGGAGTGCTTTGGTTCACACTTCTAGCATAGTTTCCCAAACTGCAGCAAATGCAAAATCATGGAAAGTATGGAACTGCTTTAGGTCCTTATCAGTGTAGGACTGGGATTTGTGTTCTTAACCACATCAATGAAGGCAAAGCTTTCTCCTTGTAATGTACAATTCTATATTGTTTGTCATTAGAACAGATTTTTTTAAATTTTCCTCAGAAAACACCAAATATACTTCCTTTCTATACTTCCTTCTCTAAATTGGAGTGGACTGGCGATAAAGAGACATCTTATATACTTGACATTTCTGCTGTGTTTCCAAGTTTCTAACACATCTCTTTTCAGAGATTCACATTACCATCCCCTTCAGCTAACTTCCTAGCCAGTCTGTGTGGCGAAGGAGTGAGCCTGAATCCTCAAGGCACTGCACAAGGTACCTCACTTGGCTTTGCGTTCTCTCTTTCGGTCACAGCGATTCATTTTCAGGAGTAATTTAATATCTTTGCACCCTGTGCAATCCTAGCATGCTGCTAAAGTAATCTTGTTTACAAAAGAAAAAGTTAATGGTTTATGCCAAGAGACTAGTTACAGTGACTACTTAAGGATCTCTCTTGGGTTCATTATAACAAGTAAATGCAAAAAGCAGATTTTCTTTTGACAAGTTTAATACAAAATTCTGATGCTTCTTTACCCCTTTTGTGATTATTTTATTGTAAAATATATCTGTAATTTTTTAGTTATACTGAGCTGCAAATGAAGGAAAAGAACAGGTGTGTTGATACTGATACCCTGTTTTTACATTCTTTATAGAGTTAATTGCAATCCAACAGGCATGTACAAAATCTGCAAGACTACCATGAGAACTTCACTGACATTGTTAGAAGTGTAACACAAAGAATCTTGAATTCAAGTCCTAAGTGGGAGAATGAGCAGCTGTTACTTGCACTGTAATGAGAGCCCTGTAGCACCTTGTCTGTAAGCCTGATGCACTGTCACAGAGCTGAGATGTCAGGTATAGTTTTCTTTAAGTGCAGTCTGCAGAGGATCACCTACAAAATAGTTAAAGTTTATACAGTTGTGGATCGTGATGTCAGTTCAGTGCTTGCTTCTAGAGCCGCACTTACAGCACATTTTCTGTGAATAATACTTTGGGGAAAGAAATTTGTAGAGAAAGGAGAAAGAAAAGAGAGCTGCTTTTTATGGCTTACATGAGATAACAAATGACTGTACTGTCATGCTTTAGAGGAAGGTGTCCTCTCTGTTCTGCTGAGAGGAATGTGAGATAGCTTTGTATTACAGTTGGCTCACAAGCTGCTAGCAGTGTCAGTAACTGTGCTGGGAGTGGATTTAAGTGTCCTGATAAACTTGTATGCCAGCGTGTATTAAGTGTCCTGATATATGTACAGTTTGTTCCATGCGTTTTCTTTTGAAATGGCGTAGCCTTTGAATGTGCCTATTTGTGCAGACTGCAAATAAGGAGTGCTATCTGATCCTGACAGATGACTGTACATTCCAGGCTTGATTTCCACTGGCATTGAATGTATTCCTAAAAGCTCAGGCTTGCAATGTGATCCCATCATCCGGAAATACGGCAAAGAAAAACGAGGCCTCACGAGCTATACTCTAACTTCAGAAGAGCTGAAAAAGAATGATTATCCTATGAGAGGTTGGTTTTCTGAGGTTTTGGTTAGTATGATTTTTTTTTTAATTTTGAAAATGAATGAGATGTTTGGTGATATAAGTTGCACGATAACTATTAGAAGAAAGAGGTCCGTGTCTTACTTACACGTATCTTTTCATTTTAGATTCCCCTGGATGTAAGGGTTATATGTACACAGAGTGTGATCTTCAGAGGACAGACAGCAGCCCCCTCTTCGGTCTGGATTGTGAAATGGTAACAGTAAATGCGTGATCCTACAAAGCATAGTCAAGCAGCCAACCTCTTATTGGCTGTTCCAAAACAAACCAAGCACCCTGTGCATTTATTAAACCACTTCTGACGTATCTGCTTCCAGTCCATTCTTTGATGGTACCAATGCTACTGCAGCCATGGGAAGGACTCAGTGGTTCTGGAGACATCAGCAAAGTTATCTTTGTCCTGAGCAGTGCAGTAGAGAGCTTAGTTCTGTGCTGGCTTTTACGGTAGCATCTGGATCTGCTAGGCTTATTGACAATGCTGTAGTCATTCCTGAGGTTTTTGTTTACAGTTCCTTCCCTTGGCCCTCCCCAGGGCTTGGGAGTGCAAAGATGTCTCTGTGCCACATCTTTTCTGTAGCCATCACAGTTCTGCGGCAGCATCTTTGAGTGACTAATGATGCGGTCTGGGGTCTGCTTTTAAATTACATTATCTCCTTAAGTGAAGACACTGTCAGTGGCAGCTCTGCACTGCTGAGTACAAACTGATTCTGTGAATTCAGCACTTCCCTGTAGAGTGTTGTTTGTGTTTGTATTAAGCTTGGCTGTATGTTTGATGTGTTTAGGGCAGGCATTTACCACATGAAATGAAGCATGGTATGGTATGAAAGCTGCAAGTGGTAGATCTCTGAGTAAAGTGACTTGTAGTGATGCTGCCTGTAGCCAAAGCTAAGGAATCCAAATGGCAGCATTGAGCTGATCCAGTGCCTGCCTCTGCTTTGTCCTAACAGTGCCTGACTGCAAGAGGGAATGAAGTCACTCGTGTCTCTTTGGTGGATGCAGAGGGGCAGTGCCTTCTGGATGAGCTAGTCAAACCAGAAAGTGTGATAGTGAACTACTGCACCAGGTGACTTCCATTAAAGTTTCTTATCTCATCATCTTTTAAGACCTGCAGCCCTTTCAGATCAAGCCTTCTACACAGAACCTGTCAGAACTCTTTGGTGTGCATGCTCTCACTGTTGTGTCTTGCATTTCACTCAGTGTTAAGAATACAGTTTGTGCTACATGGTTAGAAAAACCAGCGTTGTGTATACACTGCTACATAGCGTCTGCTTGTCTAGCTAGGGATTCTGCAGTGCTGTAGGAAAAGTTCTTTAATAAGTAAATGATCACAGTACAGGCTACTTTTCAGGGCTGGATATTAAAAAGGACACAGGGTGAGTAAGGTACAGGATTTGTAAATCAGCTTTCTGTGCTCCATAGCTAAGTTTGCATATCTGTAGAAAGAGAATAGCATAGGTCATCAGCTTGCTCTCAGCTCTAGGGCTGGGCTCGTTATGACAGCAGCAGGCCAAACTCAAACCATGTCTTCTCCAAGTCTTGGCTTGGATTTACCCAGGAGGTGAGCTGCCTGTTCCCTCAGGTTATTTGAAGCACCTCCTTCCATAACAGCCTCACAGAATTTTGTTACCTGTGTTATCTGATGCTGAGAACTGCATTGCTTAATAAGTCATGCTTGAGAGAGGACAAACATTTGAAACAGATTTGGTGGCACAGCAGCTTATATCTGTGCAGTGCATCCTCTTGTGGATTCCTCTTGGAATATGCCTGCAGAGAAAGCAGTAAATAGCATTCTGTCATAAGTTATGCTGGATTCATATTTTGCATGCCCTGCTTGTAATGTTCTCCAGTAAATGCTGTTGCTAATGCATTGGTTCTACTTCATCTCATTTTTGTTTTGAAGATACTCAGGAGTCACAAGGAAAATGCTTCTTCCAGTGAAAACAAGATTGCCAGACATACAAACCAGACTGAAAAAGATACTTCCCCATGATGCGGTGTTGGTGGGTCATTCTCTAAATGCTGATCTTCGGGCTTTGCAAGTGAGTGTTTATTCCAACTCTGTGATACTCATTTCAGACGTAAAAGGTCCAAAGAGTTCTTTTTATTAGTGGACACTTGTTAATTGCTTTTCATTATGGGTAGCCATATGTTTGTAAGCACTTGAAAGAGAGAGACTCCTCTTACATATATAAAACTTGCAATCTGCTCTTCTGAACCCAAAAGGAAGGGAGGAATCTGAGTAGACAGGGATATGTGTGCAAAAGAAGCATTACCGCTGCATTTGGGTGTTTCTGACATCTCTGTCATGGGAAGAACTAAAGTCCTTCCTATATTTAATTAAACCAATGTAAAATCCTGAGTCATAATTCATCTTTGTAATCCAATTTTGATCTTCCCAGCAGAATGTTAGAAAAGAGATTTGGGCCTGTTTCATTATTACCACGTGTTTTGTTGTTATGGACCAATTATTTATCAGTGAGAAACTGGCAACTGAAATGGGAAGGCACAGATAACAGTGGAGTTATTGCCCAATTCTCTGACTGCTGTTCTTAAATTAAACTGTGATATTTCCTTTCTTCCAGATGATCCATCCCAGTGTTATTGATACTTCATTACTTTTTGCCAGAAATGAAGGCCGAAGATTTAAGCTAAAATTTCTAGCCAAAGCTGTTTTGGGGTAAGATTATGGCAGCATTGTCATGGGAAGTATTAGAACTGTTGTGGGCCATAGGGTCCTGCTTTTCCACCAGTAGCAACAGAATACTTTTTTCCACTAAAACTCAAAGGAACAAGCAAATTGAACATAGTAATGAAGAATTTACTGTTTCCTTGAAACATTGAGCAGCACAACAAATTGGCCTGGTTTTGAGCAAAGATGCTTGGCACAACCAACTTCTTGTTTGTATGTGAACCACAAAACCAGCTTTATTGCAGCTGTACAATGTATGAAATTGTAGAGCAGCAGATGCGCTCTGGCTCACACAAATGAGATTTGTTGCAGCTATCAAGAAAGAAATGCTAATTTAGGTAAGTATGATGTACTGACTTAATCATATCCCTTCCTATGCCAGCTATCATAGCATGTCTTAGCAGTGCAGTGCTCAGAACTCAGCTCCAAACTTCCCAGATCTGGAGGTTGCCTCTCTGCCTGTGTGCAAATTGTGAGTTCAGTCATTGATCAAGGGAGAAAATGAAGAATGATCATAGAATTATTATGCTGCACTGCTTCTTTCAAACCTTGTGAACAGTGTTTTGCTCAACATTCCAAAAAGGTTTTTTGCAGTAACTTTGGGGAATATTTAGCAAAAATGGTGCTGCACAGAATTGGAATTGTTTTTAGAGAGGAAAGCTATTTTGCTGAAAAGGATCCTTTTCTAAAGAAAAAACAAGATGTTAGTAAGTATGGAAAAGTAGGTAACCTGCCTAATTTTGATGCCCTAGAAAGGAGATCCAGTGCGAACAGAGGCTTGGTCATGATCCTGCAGAAGATGCTAGAGCTGCATTGGAATTGGCTCAATTCTTTATTAAGAAGGGACCAGCGAAGGTATCTATGTCTCATGTCCTGAATGGCAGAACATGCAAATTGTTGTGCTTATGATGAATAAACACTCTTGCCCATTCTTTTACTGAGGAAATGAAGCTGTGATATAAGCCTTGGTTGTGGTAGCTTACTTCCAGCCTGTATCTTGGTATCTCAGTAACTTGGAACATCACCAGTGTCTCAGTACTCAGACACTGCAGTGAGTCAGCATTGCTGCTGACCTCTTACAGGGGCATTGGGAAGAGAAAGATTCTGACGCTCACAGCCTGTGTGATAGCCTCTCTTTTTCTCAGTGAAACAAGTGAAATAAGTGAGGGACCTTCTATGTTTTGGCAGCAATTCAAGATGGTTTTATGAGTCTTAAATCTTCTTCTTGCATTGCTGGTTTCTGAGAACACTTTTTGGATGTGCTTGCTGGATGATGCTCAAATACTGCTTGCTTGAAAATGACAACAGAAAATAATAAGGCAAAAAATGAATGCCTGTGTTTCTCCACTGCTGTGGAATGTGGCCAGGTGACTCACAGAGCAAGCACATGGTTGGTGGTTAGTTACAATGAACAGAGATGAAAGCCAACTGCTCATCTTCTTTCCACAAGGTAGCAGAACTAAACTTGGAAATGCTGCTGGCAGCTGAAAGGCAGACTGAAGTCTCACCAAACAAATCTGTGATGCAGCCACAGCAATGTGGGGTCCAGAGGCAGCTGAGTGATCCTCCACGCTTATCCAAACCATGGTAACAAGATTCTCAGAGATGCATATTTTTCCTTTGATTGAATCCTCAGTGAAATCAAAGACTTGCCCTGTTTTTGGAAGGCTTCCAGTATCTTCAGAGGGAGACACTGATTTGTAGAGTAGCACTAAAATATTTTTGGAAGGTACATCTTAAATTTCATGGAGCATTTTCAGGGCTTCTTTCTGAGGACGAAAACATTCTTTACAATACCTTTAACGAACTGTATCATTTTTCAATGGCGGGCACTTCTTGAAAGCTTTTAACTCACCACATTGACAACTACTGTAATATGCAGATTTTTTTTTTTCTCTCTCTGCTAGTTTTCTGGCCTGCTTGCAGGGGATGGGCCAGGAGCCCCTCCTTTTGGGCAGACAGGAACTGGACTCTTCTGGCCTTTGTCAGAGTGACCTCAGCACTTCCAACAAACAGGTGAATGGACACAGAGTGGGTTGGGCTGAGCAAGCGTCCAAGCTGTTAAAAGTTCTTCTTGTCCTGAGGCGGTAGGTGGGTCATGTTTTAAAAAGCTGACTGACAGTACTTTCAGCAATGGTGTTAATACCAGGTTAGCTGAATCCATTTTAACATTCAAAAATAAGCTTTGATCCTCTGTCACCATCTCATGACTCACTAGAGAATAATTTCTGCTGGAGGTCTTTCTTAGACAATGATGAGAATTAGAGCTGGGAATTAAGTTCAGGAGCTCTGTTTCTGGTTTGCTGCAATACACTTACCTCTTTGAACTTTATACTCTTTTTCCTTCCAGATTCTTCAGAGAGCCTTGGAAGACATTCCTCTCTCCACATTCAGTATAATTCAGTTCAGTTTGGATCCAGAGTATGTTGCATCTCACTGTCTTGCTGGATATTGCGAAAAGGTAGTCATTTTTTTTGAGTGAGAACAGTCTTCTCTGCTGAGCTTGGGAAGACCCATGATGTATCTGGTGGCACCTGGTAGTTAGTTTCCTTGCTTTGTGAAGTTCCTTCTCTAATCCATGTTCTTACAGGTGAGAAACAAGCTGACTGACATGCTGACAATTTACGCAGGTCCTTTTGAAGAAGACTTTTGCCTGAAGTCTGTGAAAAAAGAATTTGGAAGGTGTGGGCCAATTCAGTCTCTCACGGTGGTGACTGAAACGTACAGGGTGAGGAGCTCTGGCAGCATTCAGTTTGCTGACAGACAGTGAAGTCAAGTCATCTCTTGGAAAGATATAGATTAGAACCACTTAAATACGAGTTATTCCAGTGTTTCTGGGGGGTGAGGTGTGAGGGGGGCAGTTCTTAGCACATGTGAAAGCTGCTCCACACTGTGACAGGAATGAACACAGCTGATATGGTGTAACATTGCTGTCCACGCTACAGGGCTTTAACCGTGTGTTGATGCTGAGATGATTTTTGTCCCTCTCAATAGAGCTGATATGCCAAGGTCTGTAATGGCAGAAGAAGGTTGTTTTTAATAGCTGAGCTAATTGAAGGTTGTTTTTAATAGTTGCGGTATCCAGAGTGTTACCTGTATCACCTTTATGTGCCATTTAAAACTGAAAAGAACCCCGAGACCTGAATTGTAAAGGGAGGGCTAATATCTGCTATTCATAAACCTGAAGTATCCTGTCCTTTTGTTTCAAGCCATATGTTTGTATCCAGTACAACGTGCTGGAAGCTGCCCAGCTTGCTGTGGAAAGCCTAAATGGAGCTGAGGTAGCAGGATCGTGCATTAAGGTAAGCAAAGTAAATAGCAAAAGCCTAAATTACATTTAGTGCAGGAATATGGCCCAAGATGATTCTTTTAATATCTACATAGTGCATAGAGTGTGGGTGGATCTCGGCTGGCTGTGCTGCCACCAGCTCCCAAGACAACTTATGTTTTGGTCTCCTATCCTTTCTGTTGGACAGCAGAAGGAGGTTAGGGAGCACCCTGACCTGGCAACTCCATCTTTAAAATGAAGAGCTGAGTTGCTGGGTGTTGAAATGCCGAATAAGCAGAATGGGTTCTTATTCATCTAGTGTTCTTGCGTTGCAAACATGATCTTTTCCTTTTTCATGATTAATTAAGCTAGCCTTCATTTGTTACATTTTTCAAGGAAAGGAAAATAGCTAACAAAGTTTTGATAATGAGACAAAATCATTTAAAACAGCAGCTTCAACAGAGTTGCCTTGGCTGATGTGTTGCATTTGTTTCTATTGGACTTGCTTCAGGTTCAGAGACCCATCACTGCGGCAACACTGGACTGTGATGTTCTGATAAAGGAACTGGAACTGGATATAGAAAACGAAGGTGTGATTTATGTGGCGGGAATAAAGAAATCATTAACAGAGACAGATTTGCAAGAAGAATTCAGCCCGTTGAAAGACCTGGAAACTCTTTTCCTGCCGAAGGATCTCCAGAGTGGAAAGCACAGCACCTGCTGTTTCCTCAGTAAGTAGCTTTGCAGTGCAGCCTGCTTATTTCCTTCATGCAAGCTTGTTCAGCAGCCCTTGGAAATATGTTGGAAACTCACACGTGCTCCAAGTGCCACTATTTAAAATAGTCCAATGAAAGCATGCCTGGATACTCTGCAGCTTCACACCTACTAGTGATCATTTCTAAGAAGTCAGGAGAACAAGTGGATGAGTGTTGTTGTATTTATCTGACATTTCAGTAGTCTGACACTTGCCTGAAGCAAGATAGGATCTGTTCACTGCAGTGATTTCAGTTTCTCATCTTCCTCCTGCTCCACCTTTAGCCTTGCCCTGCAGGTGCCAAAGAGCAGGGAACAAAACCCGTTAAATCACAATCCCTTTCTCTTTGTTTTTCAGAATTCCAGAAATCGCAAAGTGCGGCAGATGCCCTGGAAGCTATAAATGGCTGGGCTGTGAGGGGCAGCACGCTCAGAAGTAGGCACGCTCTTGCTTCAGGTCACCTCTGGAGATGGATTTGGCAAATGAATAACAGCAGTGAAAAGCAAGGAGAAAACAGTTTAAGTGAGAAGATGGCACCACTGTCTGACTCTGTGAGTTTAAAGCTATGCTGGCTTGTTACTGTTTGCTAGTAAGAAGGTGAATAATATTGAACCACGTACTGCCCTGAGAACCAGGATGCCATATGTCCATGCACAGGGCAATGAGTGATGTTACATAGCAGCTGGAACCTACCACCTGAGAGCTAAGTAAGCAGTGCACAGGTGTAGGAAATGGTACAGAAGTCAGAGAGAGAAGTGGATTGTTGTGTAGTGTTGCAGGCAAGAACACTACTGACTGCTTGTAGGTCTGCTTGTAGCTGTTCCTTTTGCTGGAGGAAGGTGTAGTGCCATCTGAGTAGAGCATACAGCTCTTCCTGCAGCTGAGCCAGTGCACTTCCAAATGCCAGCTGTAACAATCACTGTTGTCCTCACCTGCTCAGTGCCTGATGCTGCCTCAGCTAAGCCTCCTCATAAAACATTTTTAAATGTGATCATTATATATCTGCAGAAGAATGGGGTATTGTAATACTTGTATTCTGTTGTGCAGGAGCAGGATGTAAAGAAAAAGGTGAAGAAGTTAGACCACCATATAAAAAAGCTTTATAGAAGTCTGCAGGATAACACCTTGTGCATTGTTCTCTTTCCTGGAATGAACAGGTAACCTACTGCCTCATGCTTTTATCTTCATTAAAAAGGAAACAAAAGTCTGACAAAAGGCCTGAAGAAGCTGTTGTATTGTCTGACTTTCATATAAGGCCAATAAAACTGATCAGTAAGTTCTTCCCATAAGCCATGCTCCAGATAAGCAGGGCTGAAATCCAGACTTAATTAATTGCACAGGTATTTTGGTTGGATGAAATCCCTATTGGACATTCTGTCACTGTTTTGAAGCTGATACAGTTTTGCAATTGTCTTGACAGCAAAGCTGTGTGTCAATCAGGCAGAGGTTCCACAGCAGCCAGATTTTTGGTTGTTGGGTTTTTGGGTGTTTGATTGTTTTCCAACCACCTAACAAACCACTACAGCCCAGGCACAATCTAACAGTTATCTCATAGTAGCCAGACCAGAAAATGTAAACCTTTCCCCGACAGGGCCATAGTGACTGACTGTATCTCTGCTCGGTCACACATCTGCCTCTGCTTTTCTGCAGTTCCCTTTAACAAAAGCAGTACTGGTCTGTGGAGACAGGAGCTGCACTGACAGAGAAGCAGGGGGACAGGGCAGCACTTCTCTCCCCTTGGGCAGCCAGCCCTGGCCACTCTTACCTACAGAGCTTCCTGAGGAGTAGCAGCGTGATGCTGTGTGGACCACTGTCCCTGGAAGGGTGAAGCATCCTGAGCCAAGAGTCTGTGCTCAGTGCCCATGACAGACCATTTCAGTATGCACACATGCTGCTCTTGGCATGATTTGCTGCAATTGTCCAGTTTCTAGTAGCAGCTTAACAAGTTAGTTGCAAAATACATAGTTTTTAAGAGAAGATCATTTAGCTGGTTGCCCATCACATCAACAAATAATTGCATGCAAAGTGAGACAGCAGCAATTTCTACCTCATTAGAGTGGTGCTGATTGCACGTATGGATTCTCACACAAGCTTGTTATCAAATCCTGCCTTCATGTAACAGCCATGTTTAGGTCTGTTGGGAAGAAGGGAGTGCCATCCCAAGCCTGGGAGAGTTTTCTTGCCAAGTGAGGTTCCCAAATTACTGTTTCCCAGGGGACTGATAAACTTCTTGTTCAAAAAGAATGACAAAAATTGTTGGGCGGAAAATAATACATGCAGTTTTCCAGTCTGCTTAACTGGGGGGTTTCAGGCTTCTCCCTGCTAGAGCAGCTAGTTTGCATGCATCAAGGCTGCCATGAGCAGAAATAACATCTCTTGTTTATGTTGCAGCATTCACGGATCACAGTCTGGCCTTGGTCTGATGGGAATAAAAGATGAGGGAGGGAGCAGTGCTTGTTAAGCTGCCAAATTTTTAATCAAAGTCTTTTGTAAAGATATTCATAGTTACTTTAAATATTGATGTCTTTGTAAAGAGCCCTTGCTGTAGGAACAATGGGCTTTCACGCTGTATCTTTTATAAATTCTAAAAATAAAAGCTATTCAAAACATCTTAAAAGCACAAAGCCTTTTCCGTTAATACTTCTGGCTGTGGCATTTTTCCCTGGCACTGAATTAGGCAAACACTTTGGAAGAGCTGAGGGCAGCGCAGGGGAAGTTTTCTGTAAAACCCCATCGCTGTGATGGAGTTCAGTGAGTTGTTTCAGCGTGGGGCAGTGATGTACTGCAGGGCTCCTTCACTGCAGCCGTACCTGCAGCAACCACGCTCTCTGCTCCATGGAACGTGCTGTGCCAGCTCCCAAAACAGTTACGGCCTCATTTCTGGAAAAGCCCTGTACTTCATGGAAAGGAGGAATTAGTGATTCATACCTCTTGGACAATCTCTTTTCTCCCACACCCCTTAGGAAACTAAAAATTGCAACTTGGCTGCAGTGGGAAGGGCAAGGGCTGTTTGTTTGGGCCATCTCAGCACGCAGCTTTAGAAACTTAACTCGCCGTGTTTTTGGTGGGGAGCTGTAAGTGCAGAGTTGCTGCAGGAGCCAGCCCTGACCAGCAATAGTGTGAGATGAGGTACAGCCTGATGGTGTCAGCTCTGAGCTCTGCACACCTGGAACCGAAGGCTGCTTTACCACCCCTTATCAACAGACTGAACTACAACAATGCCCAAAAAAAGCTTTGGGCATTAGGGGCAAAAAAAGAAAAGGGGAAATGCTTGTTACCAAGTTTAAAAGTGAGACCAAGGGTTTCTTATTATGAATTGAAATATGCTGAGATAACGTTGAAATAGTTAGTCCTGAAAATGATGAAATGCAGTCGATAGAACATCACCCCCTCCTACTTCCCTGCCCAGATCCCCATGCCCACCTCCCAGGCTGAGCTGATAGAGCAGGAACTGCTGCAGGGAGCAGCAAAGAGCAATGGCAGGGAAAGGGCACTGCAGCTCAGGCCATGGCAGTGGCAGGCAGTGTGCACAATGGTGCTCGCTTCAGGTTTTTTCATACCTACAATTTAAAGCCTCTAAAATTCCTCAAATGAAATCACTTATTAAGCAAGATGAATGCAGCCATTTATTTCTTTTATTTTAGAAAGGTACTGTATCCACGCCCAGTGAGCTCGGCGGCCCTTTTCAAACTGGGATAACCATGCTGAGCCCCTTGTCATTGCAGCTACAAAAATGGACGGCAGTCTGATCCTCCATGCAGTGCTGCTGGAGGGAATGGCGACTGCCACGGCCGCACTCATCCCTCCACACAGCCCCTCTTCTGTAAGACTGCTCACATCCAGCACCTCGTACAAACCTTGTGCACTGCAAATCTGAGCAAATAAACCAGGCCATTTTAATTCCAATGCACTTAAGAACAGGGTAGGCGCCTCCCTGCACAGGGTTAGTAAGCAGCCAGGATTTCTGCTTGGGAAACTATGGATAACAAATAAAAGTAGCAAGAGTCCTAGTTATAGTCATGAAAAAATAATTAATTTTTCCCCTTTTAATTGAAAATGTAAAAAGGACTTCAGGTTTAAATAAAACATTTTGTACAAAGCTTCACAAAAAAGTGAACACCAAAGTGTCATTGTATAAACACGACAAATGACTCATTTGTTCATAACGCACAGAACAACGTGCAAGTGCCCTCTCCCAGGGACTGGGTTTCTCTGGCCGTCCCCTCCCTCAGACCTTACTGGAGTAAGGAGACCCAGAAGCTCTGAACATTTACAAAGCTACAGTACTCAGGATACAGAGTGACTACAGGCAATACTTTTTTGGTGGTGATGGGGTTTCAGGGCTTTTTTTTCCTGTTTTTTCTTAGTGGGTGTGTCAATGCTTCAATATACAGAAGTAAACAATCTCACAGGTGAATGAATGGCAACTTGGATTAGAAAAAGCACCAAAATATTTAATATACATCTGGCACAAACTCCACAAGATGTCAGTAATGGACAAACTGATGCTTTGCTTATAAGTAAAGAGAAACCTTAATGCTTTTCTTCCAAAAGGGACCGAACATTGCACTCAGTGTTGCTATCAAGTAACAACAACCTTCTCATCACAACCTGTGCACCGTGCCTCAGATTGCACACTGTGTGGGACGCTGTTTCCATTCTGTTCCAGATGATAGCGGTGAGCAAACAACACAAGAGAAGTATTTGTAAAACAACAAAGCAGATGAGACTCAGTATAGATGCATCACCTCAAACTTTTCCCACTTTTTCTCCAGGTCACAGTTTCACACTTGGCCACATTCCTCGAAAAGACATCCAGCATGAAACAGAATTTACTGCAGCCTTTTCAAGCATTACAACTCCACAGCACTCGTGACAGTGCCAGCTGGAGGAGGAAGCGTGGTTCTGCTCCACGACAATACATTCATCATTTCCTGTGGCGAGAAAATTGGATCAGGCGTGGTGTCTGCTGCTAAGTCCAAAAAGCAAGGATTACTCCAGATACAGAGAATGGTAGATTTGATCCCAAGTACCCTTGAGGGCCTGGTAGCTAGCTGTGTTCACATACAGTTCAGTGGAAGCTGCACAAAGGCGTGCTGCTTTCACTGTTTCCTTACAATTTTTCACTTCTCTGGGAGCGTACACTACCAAAACACATTCCTTCCATACAGGGCGATGTGGCCACACCAGGGCTGAGCTCCACAACAAGCATCTGTGCTGCAAGCTGCAGTTCTCCAGGCTGGCTCTGTCAGTGCTTCCTCCCCCTCCACGCAGCTGCAGCAATGCGGGCTCACTTTGTGCCCCAGGTCAGCTGGGATGGAGCCCAAAAGTGCCGGGTGAGAACCCCATGCTGCAGTCACATCCATCTCTCTTGGAACTCCAGCTAATGGACAACTCGCAGCATGAAGCCTTCCCACCACTCCCGGTGGCCCATTTCCTTTCTGAGGGACCACTTAAACTTACTGATAAGAAAGAATGCGTATTTTTAAGATAACTAAGCTTGACTTAAGAGCCACTCCCGTGGCACAGGCACAGCTCCGTCGGCAACATCCAAGCATGCTGCCCCAGCTGCAGCCAACCCACAGCCCAAGGAGAATCTGCAAGTAAGAAGCAAGAGCATTGCAGACAAATGTGTTTATTCTGCATGTAAAATGCATGTCATCTAGAAAGAGATTTTATCTTCAGGATGCAATTATGCAAAGGTAGAAGCTTTCTAAGAACAGAAAAGAAGGAGAACCTCCCAGCGTCTCCAGCATGCGTGAGCACTCTCAGCTCTGCTTTAAGCGCAAGGCGTTCATCCTGAGCAGACACCGAGCGCAGGGAGGAAGCAGCAGCTGTGCAGCCCTCACACTTTTGCAGCCTTCACTTTTTGTTGCCACAACTCAAGATGGAACAAAGCACAGAATATGTAAGAAATACACTCATAGCACTGCATCAGGTGGGTTCCTGATGCTTTTCAAGAGCAAATGAAAGAGCCAGATGGTTCCTTCTTGGGGAGCAGCTGCTCCATCTCCCATTATTGTGGCCTGATCTGGAAAGAGAAGGTGTGATGCTGAAAGGCCCTGAGCCAGATGGGAGCAGCTCCACTCACTGCTGCGCTCCAGAACTCACTCCCTGCAGGACTCACACATCCCTTACCAGCTTGGTTTTGCTCCCTTCCAAAGGGCTGACTGCATGCAGACTAAAAGCAGGATACCAAAAATATGGTAAATAGGTAACACTTAACATGGGTCAATTAAAAAGTGTACATTACTTATCCAGGCATCATAGCCTGGGAGAGGATGGTCAACTTGAACTACTCAAGTCCAACAAGAGGTAGAGATACCTATGTACTTCATGGTGAAGGAGTTACGGCCTTCTATCTTACAATCTCATGTATTTCACTTCAACTGAGGATATAAACTAAAGATACAATCTTTGATAATCCAGAGAAAAAAATTTAACACCAGTGTCTCTACACACAACAGAAATAAGCACACTTATCTTTTACTACTTGTTTGAAAAAAAACAAAAGCCTTCAAAATTTGTGTTTTGCTGTATATTGAAACACTGAAGAATTTTCAGTTTCAGGCTAAGCATCTTCTTTTTCAAAATGAAAGGGAAAGTTCACGTGCACACATTTCAAGCAGAGGGAGCTCAAAGAATCAGGCGCAGGACTGATCAAAGATTCCTGCCACAAGGGCCACGTTGCAGAACACAGGGCTGCAAGACCCGGACCTTCACAATGCCTGTTCTCTTACAGCGAATAGGAATGGCGCAGCCTCAGCCAGCACGCTGTGTCAGACCCGAGGCAGCCAGTAACCACACGGTGTTTAACTCTGCTTGTTTGTTTGGGGTTATTTTTTGGAAACAAGGCTTAGAACCATAAGGAAGATGCTCATGTCAGCAGTCGGTGCACAGAAGCAGCAGGTAAGACACGACCTGTGCTCTGTGGGGCCTTGGGGCTCTGATGGCCACAGCAGCAGTTGGGACAAACCCATAGCCCACAGCAGCCCGTGGCCCAGCAGATCCCATACCACCTGCCACATTCATCTCTTTTTCCTCGGGTTCTCTCCATACCATTGCACAGTACTACAGAGCTCTAATTCTCCACACAGAATAGCACCAGCAGCAAATAAACACACCGTTCCACATTCAGTTTCCATTAAATTACTCATCAAGTTTGATGGCCAACTCTGGGTGGAATCTTTCAAATCTGCACTTGAATCAACCCATCGATAGTCTTCAACCCAAAATCACACCCCCAGGAGGAACTGGCATCACTGAGCCAAGCTGTCAAGGCATTGCAGTAACACTGCACAGTGCCCAGTGCACAAATTGCACTTCTTTGTGTCTAAGTGAAGGCAATAAAATGCCACAGAGTGTGGATATCAGATCACGTTCCCAGTAAATTCCTACAATGATCTGTATAGTTATCTATAGTTATCCCAAGTTGCAGCAGACTCACTTCACGCATCAAGATTTCTAATGCATACTCTAAGAAAAAAAACTAAATAGACCCAATGGTTTTGAGCACTTTTTCTGCATCACTGCTCGATCCAGTCCCGTGGCCATTAAAGACAGATTATATGGAGAGTGAAAGCATTGCACCTCTTCCACAACTATTCACAGTTTAACCACTAGGCAAGCACATTTTCAGAGGCTCCAATATTGCTGCAGACTTTGCAGAAGTGCATCTGAAGCAGCACTCCAGTGGCACAGAAGGGCAGGGCTGCTGGGGGTAGGAGCACCAAGCACCAGCACTGCTACGGAAGAGCTGACCCATAACCACAGCTTCAGGAGTTTAAAGCAGGCACAGGTCTGGCTTGCATCCTGTAACTGCCCTGTAAGCACCAAGCCCAGACTGAAACCAACAGCACTCTGCCAGGCCCACCTGTGGGCAGTTCTCCTTGTGCGCTCAAAGCACAGGACAGAATTCACTGACAGCTGCATGCCCTGCCTCCCAGAGAAAATATTGTTCCTTTCTGTATACTCAACACCTGTCAAAAGAAAGAAGCCGTGTTGTGTCTGATGCACTGAAATGGCTAAGCCTTGATGTGCTACAAATTTATTTCCTTACTGCAATCCATGTTCCACACCACCAGATAAACGTGTTCCACAGAGCTCTCTAATCCCCCCCTTTTGGAGTTGCTGCAGTTCATTGTGCAGACAGGCAGCAGTCACTGCTCCAACTCTGTGTGCAGAGTTGCACCCTGCACTGGGTGAACACAGCTTTCATGCACCAAACACTTTAGAACTACCTTTAGGAACAAATGAACCGATGAACAGAGCACCGAGTAGCTGAAAGAATGTCCCAAACTTCATATAGCCTTCATTTACTATCAGCTCAGGCCTCCATCTGGAGCTTTTGCCAGTGAAGCAGCCTCTGCTGGAGAGCTCTTTTCTCTTGCTTAAAGAAGAGCACCAGCAGAAATCTCATTGATTCCACACTAACAGCACAAATGCCTACTTTGCTCACCAAACCAAAATACGGTTTTGCTGCCAAAATGTGCTAGTGCTGTTAGGGCAGCATGGAGGATAAGAGCAGCAGGGCACCCTTGGGGCAGACTTGCCTGTAACGCCCTGAGCTGGGGCCCCTCCTGCCCAGGGACAGGCTTAGCTAGGCCTCCATTTGTTCCCAACTGCTTCACTCTCCCAAGAAGAGCTTGCCAAAGCAGCACAGACCAAACCCTCCTGTTATTAGGAGGAAGAGATGCCATCAGCCATTTTGGGCTTGTTTTTAAGCATTTTTAGACAGCCATAGATTGTAACTAATGTACGAGCTCTGCACAGCCTGCATGGCAGCTTGGGGCATCAGCAGAGCCCAGCACAGAGGTCAGGCAAACACTCCGCTAGCTCAGCAGCAGACATGCACTACACACCACCCCAGACCCAACAACAAGCTCACCACTGGAAGTTTGGCTTCCCTTAGCTTTATACACTGTCACAAAACCCATGAGATGCTAGAGATGACCCGTCCAGCTTTGAGGGCTTTTGTTGCTTTCAATTTTTCACTGAAGCCATTTTATGATCCTGAAGTACAGCTCTGAAAATAAAAGATGTGTGATGTACGTGTATTGGCTTCATGAGCTTGACACTGGGCTTCATGGGAAGCCTTGGCAATTATCCCTTTTTACCAAAATGTGTAAAAAAGTTGACGTATTACAATTAAAAAAGGTAACATCAATAACCAAAAAAAGCTTCAACCAGTGTTAATAAAATTCCCTTTAAGTCACAACAATTTCAACAGGCAAATAGTCCCAATACAGGCATTGTAAAATAATAAATTTACTCCTATCCAAATATTATCAAATCAGTCTAAAAATGACTCGTCTACACTGTTGTCATTAAGAACACATTACGAATTCACTTTGTCATCAGATGCCGATATTGTTGCTCCAGAAAGTGTGGAGTATTAACTGCAATTTAGCAATTAAGCATAGCTTTAAAAAAAATTGGTTCCTCACATAGAAGTACTGTGCTTGCCAGACAAGTAAGATAATGCTTCAGGTATAAATCAAACAAATTAAAGCAGAATTATACCGCAGTTTTCCTTGAAGACTTAGGTTTTGTGTGTTGCTTCTGTCAATGTTTAAGAAACTTAAGAAGCAGAACCTTTGGTTCTTTTAGTCAAGTAAAAAATATTCTCCTGTATCCACAAAAAATAAACTTCCAAAGAAAATGGAAGTCCACCAAGAAGTCCACTTTCAATAAAACTGAGGTAGCACTGCTCTTTTATTACGTGTTGTGTCAGAGATTTCTATATAAATCCTCATCTACCACTCAGTTGACTGACAGGTACAGTAACTTTATAAAAACAGTCCCAACATTTAGTTTGAAACTGAAAACAAAAAGGAATGATTTGGACTCGGTCACGAGGAGTTAACTTCAAGTGGTAATAAGCCGTATTACAAAAAGCTGTTGCTTATGTTGTTGGATTTGTTGTTGTTTTTTAAGAGCCTTATTAGGAGGGGATTAATGCATTTCAAGTTAACACTGCTATATTCTTGGTATAAAACCTTAAAATTATTATAGCCTAAATTTTCAACAATGTAAACAGCACTACACACAGTACAGACCTGCCCTGACAGACATAGTATGAAAAACTTTATCTGGCACTGTATAATTTAGCAATGTTAATTTAACCTAACTAAAAAGATCTACATTGTGCAAGAAATATCAGACTTACTTATACTAATCTGAAGTCTTAACAAAAATGCTTAACTTGTAGCCAGGGTCAAATATTTCAGGGTAAGAGTAAAAGGAATAACCAAAGTTAAGAAAGTGCCTAAAACATGATACAGCATTTTAGAGCCCTTTCGAATACAAGGCAGAAAAAGGTGTAAAGTAGAAAAAAAATCTGGAGCCTTGGTAACCTCCAGAAACATCCAGAGTTTACATCTCATGAAGGGCAACAGGTTGCTTTCATCACTGCCGCTTAAATGCTGTTAAGTCTGTTCTTCTGTACACAGACCCTCTGTGTCCGAAGATGTAATACATTTGGTTTCCTCCTCCTTTTTCCTCCGCTCCATTTCCCACTCCACAAAGGTATCGAAGAGACTCGGCCAGGCCTCGTCTTCACTGTAGTTGCTAAGGTCTGGTCCGATCACCTGAGTAAAATTTAGAAACATGTTCCATGTGTCCCGGGAGATTCCCTTGATTCCTGAGGGGTTCTCAACTAGGAAGTGCAACCACTGGTCCAAAATGGGGGGTTTGTTCTGGGTGAAGACTAATTTCCAAAGGGCAATGGCTATTTCCCGATGCAGCGACCTCTGTCCCTCCTCAGAATCCAGGCCGAACTGAAAGGTGAAGCGGTAGAGATCCTTGAATTTATCTTCCTGCTTGGCTTCGTGTAAGAGACTGGGGAACCGTGCACAAATGCCATCGATGCTGTCTGCGTTTATTGCTTTACAGCCTTCAAAAAACTCCTTCCTATTAAGCGAGAAAAGAAAAATTAGTATGAACACTTCTCATGCACCGAGCACTTCCCTCAGTAGGTCAGAGGGAGTGATCTCAGCAGCAGGTGGATGCCCCGAGCTCTGGCTAAGATGTTGCCCCAGGTCCCTCCTGGCTGGGGAACCCACCCACAGCACACATGCCAGCCCAGCTGGGACACTGCAAGACCTGAAGAGCTCTGCAGTATGGCCTTCCCAATATGTGGTACTTCCACAGCCCGAGCCTTTCTCCAACACGGAGCAAACCACATCAGCCACAGCAGAAGTGCTGAACACACTGGAAAATACCACAGCTGCTCCTCAACACCACATACAGAGCAGCTTCATACTGCCTGTGCCTGAGGGCCCGTGCTCTGGACAAGCTGCTCTCAAGGAGGAGTCACTTATAGGCCTTCCTTCAATTTGTGGCCGCTCTTCCAGACTGAAAGGCAGAGTGGTGCCAGCTGCGATGGTCAGCGAGGGCACGAGCAGCAGAGTGCCCCACACCACATGGCACAGGCTACAGTGCAACATACAGACACTGCTCAAAGCAGGGCTCCAGGCAGCACACCAACGACTTGTCACGAGGACAGCGATTTGTTTTATGATCAGGAGCAAGTGTTGCAGTATAGCAACCAGCTGGTATCAACCACAAACACAGACTGTCATGTGGGATTGGGTGGAGGGAAGACAGAAGAGCACAGAGCTCAGGAGATCAGAAGACTGCCTTGCCTTCTTTGGCCAAAGCCACCTGTCTGTGCCGCTATCATGGAACACGCTGCTGAGCAGAGGTAATCTCTCACCACCGGAACTGCATCTCTCCCAGAAAATCAAATCGTTATTGAAATGATTGCGCAGAATCAGAGTTCAGTCCAGTGAAACTGGTTGTGCAGAATCAGACACCGACAACTCCTTTCCCATACTACACAGCCCTGCTCCTTCAGCCCCTGGAAAATCTACGTTTGCATTCAGCACGCTCCCACACCCACAAGGCCGCTATCACTGTTCAGTGCACAGCAGAAGCTTGGCTGAAGGCTCAGAACACCAAAATAATTTTAAATGTTATTAGCTGAGTAAAAATAGTTAAAATTACTCAAATCAATCTCAACTGACCATAAACTCCAATAAAAGCTCTTTGCTTGCTCTTACCTGGACACTGGTAGAGAACTCAGTGTGTGTGCGCGGAGGATGTTTTGGTTTGGGGATTTTTGGTGGTGGGACTGGGTGGGTTTCTGGTGAGTTTCAGCCATTCTGTCATTTCCTGCAGCACTGGAAATGCTACGGGCTCACTAACTGAAGCCTTGTCAGGACAGGCAGAGCCTGCAACACCAGTCACTACAGAAGCACCTCTCTAAGCTTTAACAAGACTAGTCTTGGAGAAAGACATGGGTAACATCAGTTGGGCACGAACAGTTCTTAGCAACGAGCCTGCTTTACAATCTTTCACAGAACAATAACAATGACAGAGTTGGCAGCAATTACTAAGGACTCTCACATTATTTTAAAGCAAAAGTTATTTGTTTTGTCAAATCTTAACCTTAAGGCAGTGCTGATACAGAAAAACTGGTTTTGCTAGTCAAGAACCAACTGATGTCTACAGAATGTCTCCATGTTGTTCATCATTAGTAGCGTGATGTCCAGAAACATTTTCAGTTCCGAGACCTACTGTGAGGGAGCAAAAGGAGAGGACAATGCAAAGCTTACCTTCTGCAGCCACAGGAATGAACTGCACCGAAGCACAACTGTTAGAAAAAATACCTACATGTAGTTAATGAGGCTGTCTCTCTGATACACATGATAGGATACAGCTTAACATGAAAATAATTAAAATTCTGCAGGAACTAACCTTGTAAATTTGCACATAGTAGCAGCCTGGAATTTCCAAGCCAGAACTAGCACTTTAAATTCAGTGGGATCAACACAGAGGTCATTGCAAAATCGTTCCATTCCTTCCTCCAGTATGGCATCTTCCCGTTCATCCTTGTATCTCCTAAATAACTCTCCAATCCTTTGAAGGGACGATTCTTCCGAGCTGGAGACGGAGTCTTTCTTTGTATCCCCAGAAAACGCTGAAGGTGGACCGGACTCCAGAGCAGCATCCGCTTTCTTTGTCCCGTTCACAAGTACATCTCCCGAGGACTTCCCACACGCCGAAGCGTGCTCATCTTTGTGGACAGTACTCCTCTTGCCATGTGACTTGCTGCCCGCTTCCCTTTCCCCGTTTTTGCTGCCGAGGGTAGATGAAGGATTCTTGCACTTGGTGACGCACTGGCCCATGGTGCAGGGAGCCTGGCTTCATTCAGAGCAGCCTCCTCGCCGTGCCACAGCCCCGCGGCCGCCCCTCAGCACATGGCACCATGCCGCTGGCGGCCGTCTGCCAACCTGGAAAACAGTTTCAGAGTGAAAGAGCTGCTTCTCCACAAAGAACATTGCAAGCATTACACGTGGGATAACATTCACCGGAAGGAGACAGGCTTCGGGATACTTCCGTTTCGCCTGCTGAAAAGGAATAGTGTGCAGAAAGTCAGTGTGTGCTGGAAACTTTGGGCAATTCCAGGCTACTTCACCTCACTCAGTTGCTGCTGTATATTAACAGGTCCTAATAAAGGAAATTCCTAAAATTCTTATGGCAACATAGGTTACAAAGAGGTTGATTCATGCGCAGACTTCATCGTGACAGACTACTCTAACCCAGAAATATTTTAAAGGAAATGTTTTTGTTTTTGTTTTTTAAAAAGTACGCCCACATTTTAATTACAGAGCACAAAACAGTGAAACAGAGCACTGGGTGGGGGATAAGGGAGGGACAGCAACAAGGTAACCTGACCCAGACCAGGGACATGCACACGCAGAAGTAGAGTAATCCCAGTTCAGTTGGTAAAATAAAAGTTAAAACGCCAAAACAATTTCCTTATACTTCATTTTCATAAACCCAATGCTAAAGCGTTGCGTATTTGGAAGAGACTTTTCACCCCCAGAGAAGGGATCTTAAATGATGCCATTAAAAGCAATCAGACTGCCTGGCACTGCCCTGCCAGCTGACTGTTTCTTAGAGCATCACCAGAAAGCAGTTGCTCACCATAATCCTCCTTCTGTGTTGGAGCCTCAGACACAAATGGGGTTTGCTTCATAGCTTTGATTCCAGCTTCCAACTTGCAGAACAAGTATGAAAAGAGATGAGAAGTCTCTTTTCACATGAAGAAAGCAAACAGATATCATGCCATCCTCCAGTGCTCTTTCTCAGGTAGAGCTCTACAGCAAGGGAACCTCCTGTTCTAAGCTGGGAGCCACACCAGAGCAGCAGCACACACTGCAGTTGTGAACACACGTCCTCCCCCGCCACTGTGCCTGCGTGGGGCAAACAGTGTGGCTGCAGCTCTGTGGGCAGGCAGCACTTGGGAGTCCATCCTCACTGCCAAAACAACCTTTAACAATTCTTCAATTCATCACTTACAGTTGGTGTTATTTGTTATTATTATTATTACAGCAACAGGAGGAACAAACTCCTAAAATTGCTTTGAAGATGAACTCCATAACATGATTTTATATGCAAGGGAAATGCAATCTAACATATTCAAGAATAATTTCTTCTTCAGTTGTATCTCAAATGATTCACTAAGATACGCATCTCCACATAAATCATCTGTAGGAATTTTGTGGGTCCTCAGCAGCTCACAGCTATGAATTGCAGAGCTGCCACAAACCCGAGGAATGCTGCCTTCTCCAGTCTGCACCAGTCCTTTTCCCAGGATATTACCAGGCAGTGTAATTTGCTGCTCCACAGCAGAACTCCACATGAACTCCCGGATATCAGCCTTCCTTCTGTTCTTTAAATTCATCAGAATTCAAATGCCAAGTCCAATTCTTACTCTCTTTAATAGAGGATGGAGGAAGGGTTTGGTTGCAGAGTAAGGAGCTGCACTGATCTCCATGCTCAGTGAGTATAAGGAAAGCGTTCCCAGATCGGTGACCAGAGCTACTCATTCAACTGGAGAGCAAAGCAAATGTCACACCTAGGTCATGTCAATAACAGAGAAGGAAGAAAAGGATGCATGGGAATATTTCTCCTAGTTGGAATGGAAACTTCAAGTGTCCTGTGTAACTGACCCAAAGGTTACGCTGAGCTGGCAGCAAAGCACCAGTTCCCAAAAGAATCAGTACTTAATAGCAAAATTACTGTAACGTGGTTATACAACTTAACAGTGAGACAAAAGAGACAACGCTGATCACCAGTTTTGCTATTCTAGTAAAACACCAAAACTCAGGAATAACAATTGGACACACTGGGTGCTACAGGATATGGTACTCCCAGAGCAGTCTGATTACTCAGACAAGTACTGAGTAACAACCTACAGTAAATATGAATCACCAAGATGCCCATCTTCCACACAACAGGAACTGCCTAGCAAGGCATCTCTATTTCTTTCTAGAGGAGAGAAAGCAGCTGGAAATGCAGGAAGACTGCAGCCAGTTAAAGGAAAGCCACCTTCTAAGAACAAAGGATGTGTAGACCCATATTACCCAGAACATAACACAGGAAGACTACATCAGATAGGAAGGACCATGTTAATGGTTTGGTTTGTTTTTCTTTTTTCAAATCCTATAAAGCAGTTCATTTTTATCTCATGTTTTCAAGTGACCAGATCCCACATAAACAAAGAGTTGTAGGAAGTAAACAACAGAGTGATTGGGTAATAACTCTGGCACACAGATCACCACGCTCAATTGAAAGCACCTGAACTGTAGTGAGGAAGTGAATAGAACATGCAAAGGAGGTATCTAAGACACCCACTATTTTCCTCTAATGACTAACACTGCAGCAATAGAAATTATTGGTTACATCCAGAGAATAATAAAATACAGCCATGTGTTACTCTGTTTAATAAAGTGTTGCATCACGAGGTATTTACAGTAAGTTTTAAAAAGGAGGAAATATCATGACATAGGAAAAGAATAAAAGTTTAAGAAGTCCTCGTAAACAAGCTTAAGACACCACAGACCAAAAGGTACACAGCTCCCCCAGGAGCTTCCCCCTTCCCCAAAAGCAGTTCTTTAGCTAAGGCAAAAACAATGGCTCCAACTTCACCAAGCCTCATCCCAGCCTCAGCTTCTTGCAAACAGAGGCCACCAGCACAGTACGGAATTTCACTGTGCATTATTAATCCTTTGTGGGCAGGGAGGCATGACTTCTAAAATAGCAGATCACGGGGAACAGCATCACGGGTGCCCCCTCATTTTCCAGTTCTGAACAGGCACACAATGCTCTCCACAGGGGAGGCACGAGAGGATCATTGCAAGCGCTGAACCAAAAGCAATTGCTGTTCCAACAGCTGACACTGCAGCCATGACCTTGTAAGCAGACTTCTACTTACATCGTTCTGGCTATGCAGGCAGTCATTCCATTTCACAGCCGCCTGCAGGCCCTCTGGGATCCACATGGAACACTATAAAAAAAAAGAGCCACAACAAAACTTTACACTTTGAAGAGACAATGAAAACCATAAAATGCACTAAACTGTGCAGTAGCACTTAATCTTCTGTAGTCCAAACTCATTTGTTAAAAGAGACTTTTTATAAAACTGGTTCACTTTTTCACTTACTGAGTAGTATTAACACCACTAACTATGCATTATTATAGAAAGCACAGACCAGGTACTGAATACAATGGACAAATTCAAATATTTGTTAAAAGTAAACACAGACTTCTGGCTAATTTAATGCTTTCAACAGGGGAGAGTTAATTCCTCATCTCACGTCCTCAGGGCAAAACTAACATGCTGTTGTCATGGCTGTCAAGCAAGGTCCCCAGAGACTGGAAAAAGGGAACCATCACTCTCATTTTTAAGCAAGGGAGGAAGGAGGACCTGGGGAACTACAGGCTGGTGAGCATCACCTCTGTGCCTGGGAAGACCGTGGAGCAGATCCCCCTGGGAGAGATGCTAAGGCACATAAGGGTTGAGCGGGGCATGTGAGACAGCCAGCATGGCTTCACCGAGAGAGGATCGTGCCCGACCCATCTGCTGGCCTTCTGTGGTGGAGCGATGGCAGCAGCGGCCAAAGGAAGGGCGCCTGGCGTCGTCTGCCTGGATTCACGCGGGGCCTTCGAGGTGGTCCCGCACCACATCCTTGTGTGTGTGTTGGACAGAGATGATCTGAAGGGCGCTGCTCAGCGGATGAGGAACTGGTCGGCGCTCACAGCCAGAGCGCTGTGCTCAGCAGCTCTGTGTGCGGGTGGAGGCTGACAAGCAGCGTCCCCCAGGGGGCCCTCTTGGCACCGGTGCTCTTCAACCAACGCCGCGGAGGATGGCATCGAGCGCACCTCAGCAGTTTGCTGATGGCACAACAGCAGGGAGGGACGGCACCCAGAGGGACCTGGGCGGGCTGGAGAAGCGGCACACGAGAACCTGCTGAGGTTGAGCAAGGCCCAGTGCGGGGTGTTGTACTTGGGTCGGGGCAATGCCAGCTGTGTGCAGGCTGGGAGAAGAGCTCACAGAGAGCAGCCCTGCGGAGAGGGACGTGGAGGTTGGAACCGGGTGATCTTTGAGGCCCCTTCCAGCTTAAGTCATTCCATGCTACCACTATCAATGCATGTTAGCTGAGCCAATGTTTAATCTGTGAATACCAGACAGTTGCTCCCTAGTAAAGCATAATCTGGGTCTAGAAATTAATTCTTTTTTTCCTTCTCTAGCACATTCTTTTCCATGTTTGTTTTTCCATGTTTGTTTTCCCATGTTCAGTCAAGTTGACTCAGCCTCATTTCTTTTCAATTCCCACCTCTACCAGTATAACTAAGAAGCTCTTTTGAGATAAGGACAGACAAAGGCACATCTGCTTTGTATAGCAAGTGCTGCACCTGCAGCTCCTTGTCAACACCTCTGTTCAGACCTGATCTAGAAAAAAACAAACAAGAAGGCTGTGGCAGCTCCTTTGCTTAACCATGCAAACACTAAAATATCTCATTGTCACTGTTAGGGTAATTAAGGAGCAGGCAGGAGATCAAAAGCTGCTTTCCTGCACGGTTACTTTTTACATGAGACCTGGTTGTAAGGAATCTAGTTGGAAAATTAGCTTGTTCCATTGTTTTCTCAGTAGAAAGTAGAGGATGGATGTAGAAAGATAATCATAAAACACGTTCTTACTGCATATGCCATTCTCCAGATAAAGTGAGTTTTCCTCAAACAGAAGTCCCTTACACAGATGGTGCTGAGCAAACAAGAAAACAACCTACATTAGATCAGGGCTATTCTAAAAAATCTAAGTCCAGGGAAGCAGGCATCCGAAACACTTTGAGAAGGCCAGGAACTGTCAGGCACTACTTCTGACTGTCATACACACCCACAGAGCAAAATGCATCTTCACCGAAACATTTTTAGACAATTTCTGAAGCTGATATCCCAAAAAGCCTGCTCCCTACAGACACGCATCCTCTGCCTCCAAAGCTCACCTTACATACCATAGGTCCAGCCCTCCCAAAAGGTTCTTCAGACTGTGTTGTCAACATGTCAGCCTGCACAGACCCCCATTCCTCTGCCACCACTCCTCCTAGTGCAGTGCAGGCACCAATCTAGGGTTCTATTGGACCACAGCTTCCCAAAATTCCACAAAATTCAACAGCTCCCACCTCTCTGTTCATTTCTTTTGCCTGCCCCCGCAGCTAAGTAATTGTTCTTATATTCACTTGGGGAGCAAAGGGGAGGCAGAACAGGGAAACCTGCAGCCTTGCTCCCCAAGGAGCTTGTGGAAATAGTGGAGAGGCAATATCTTGCACTCTCCATTAAAAAAAAAAAAAAAAAGCATTGGCATGGCAACTTCATGCAACAAACAAACTGCTCCCCAAACAGATCAGGACTGCTTCAGAAGCCTACGATCCACCAAACCTCAGTTTCTAGCGGACTACAGCACACACTGGAAGCCAGCATGCATTCCAAGTTGAAAGCAAGACCCCAGCTCTCTGGGGCAAGGCTTTTAACTCAGACTTTGGGGCACACTGAAGAGGCACAGCTGGACACCACAATGCAAAGCACCTCCCTGGTGATGCCAGGAGCTTCAAACTGCAGCTGCTCTGAGCAAATTCCAATGCTCATTAGCGATCCCAGATGGCAGTCCCTGGGGAAAATAAGGGAGCAAGAGGAGCGCATCTCAGGATTGCTGGGACCCTGATTTACTCCCGTTTTTTGCATCTGTGTCTGGCTACCCACTGTGACTTGGGTTCTCTGGAACACTGCAGACATGCTGTAGGTTCTTGCCAGCTCAGAGCACAGCTCGCACAATCCTAAACAAGTGCCATGCTAGCAGGGGGCTGCAGCACAGCTCCACATCTCTACTGCAGGTATGCATTCATGCAAAATTACTTCTTCATTACTTAGATGCAGTGTAAAAGCAAGAAAGCTCTGCTGTAATTGGTTAACAGTGAATTGCAAGTTTGTCGGGCTTCCTGCTTGAACATTTTTCAGTGAACATGAGTCAGCTCATGACCAATGAAATGAAGAATGGGAACTCTGTTGACCTGTTTCACGTCAGGATAACAAAACATTCTGGTTAGCCTTACTTTTTGGAATCAAACTGCAAACTGCAAGGAACCCAAGCAACCAGGACACAGTTTGTCTCAACAAAATGCATCTGCCTCAGAGTAGAAGCAAGGCATGCAGGTGGGCAGTGCAGGACCTGATAGGTTGACTGACACCTGGCAGCAGGTCAAGGGCAGCCAAGGGCCAGCTCTGAGTGCCAGGAACCGGAGGGGTCACAGTGCCTCAGAGGGCTGTGGTTGACGCACCAGGGGGCTGGGATGCCATCCAGAGAGAACCAGACAGGCTGAGCAGCAGGCCCAGGTGAACCTCATGAGATTCAACAAAGCTAAGTGCAGGGTCTGCACCTAGGTCAAGGCAACATCCACTACCAACACAAGCTGGGGGATGACAGGATGGAGCATAGCCCTGTTGAAAAGGACCTGGGTGTACTGATGGATGGCAGCAGGAAATGAACCAGCAGCGTGCCCTCACAGACCAGAAAGCCAACCGTATCCTGGGCTGCACCCAAAGCAGCATGATCAGCAGGTCAAGGGAGGTGCTCCTGCCCCTCTGCTTTGCACCGTGAGGTGTCACCTGGAACACTGCATTCAGATAAGGAGAGTTCTCAGTACAGGAGAGACATGGAGCTGTTGAAGAAGTCCAGAGGAGGCCCACAAAAGTGCTCCACGGAATGAAACACCTCAACTACGGGGACAGGCTGAAACAGTTGGAGCTGTGCAGATGGAGAAGAGAAGGCTCTGAGGAGATCTGAGAGCGGCCTTCAGTGCCTAAAGGGGAGCAACAGGAGAAAAGGGACAGACTCTTCAGCAGGGTCTGTGGTGACAGAGCAAGGGGAAATGGCTTCGAACTTAAACAGGGAGGTTTAGGTTGGACACCAAGAAGTCTTTTACAGTGAAGGTGGTGAGGCCCTGGCACAGACTGCCCAGAGATGTGGTGGATGCTTCATTGCTGGAGACATCCAAGGCCAGGTTGGGTGGGCTCTGAGCACCTGATGGAGCTGTGCGTGTCCCTGTTCATTGCAGGCAGGTGGATCGGATGGCCTTTAAAGGTCCCTTCCAACTCAAAGGATTCTATGATATCACACAGCCACAGAATGTCCTGAGCTGGAGGGCATCACAGGATCACTGAGCCCAGGCCCCAGCCCCACACAGCACCACTCAAGTGCTATGGCTGAAAGTGGCATCCCATGATCTCCAGCACCCAGGGGGGGTGCCCACCCCCCCGGGGCAAAGCCTTTCCCTGAGCACCCTGACTTCTGCTCACAAAAAGCACATTGTTTAAACAGCTTTTTCAGCACACACGCATCATGCCTGAATCCCTCCCTCTATTTTGCATTCTCTAACCACACAATACCTTACATACTCATTGTTTTGCATTGTTTTTTTACACTCAGCCCCATCAAGAAGCTTTAAATCTTTTCCCAATATGTGCTTCATCCTAATTTATTAGGTGGCTAGAAAGATTTGTTAGGATGATTGTATTTTCACAGGACAAACCCAAGTCTGGTTAGCTAACTAATGTGCCTTCTGGTGGTTCTGTAATATAAATAAGTTAATGAACTAATTGACAGAGCAGAAGTGCTTGCTTTGAGAAGTTTGTTTAAGCTACGAGTGAAACAACAGAGGGGAAATACGACAGTCAGAGGATGCAGCCATTCTAGATGACACCATCAATTTCAGTAAAGCTGAACCCAGAACCAGGCTGGATTCCAAGCCATTTTTTATCCAGTACACACTTCAACACTCAGACCCTGGGTGTGTTTGAATCCACCAGTTTCATGAAACAAAGACTCAGTCACCATGCAGCTCATCTCCATCTCGTTACAGCTGTCAGCCTTTCCCCTCTCCGCTTCACATGCAAGATGTATAATCAATTCCTTCATCACTTTTCCAGGGTTCACTGTAACTTTTGCACAGCATGACAGATCTCCAGCACTTCAGTATATGCTATTCACAATAAAAGCAGTGCATGCCAGGGGCAGAGCTACTCTATGCTGAGACACAACCGCTTCGCACCACTTCAGCAAGCATGCCGATCAGAGAACCTGCAGAAACCATGATTCTCAGATGTCTGACACAGACACACTGGGCTCTGAGCATCTGACAACTGCTGTGCTGCAAACACGTACCTTAATTTGTCTCAGGCATCACCATAAACTACAGAAATCTGCAACTATCCCACAGCCAAACCAGAGTGACTCAGAAAAACAGCCTCAGTCTACAGACTGAGCCAGGTGTGTGTGGATTTTGCTGTGCTCTGAGTTCGACTGGTAGATTTCACCCAGAAGCAATGGAGGTACTTCCATTGCTTCTGTACAGCAGAACAGGATTAAAGTGGATTGTCAGTGATTTCTGTACTAATTAGTTATGCTTAAAACTGATGTAACAAGTGCATAACTCCATATTTCTCACTGCTCCCAGCAATTCAGAAAGCTACGCTAATCCTGCAAAACCAGAAAGCCCTCATAGCAGCTCTGGTTAGTGGTGTACCACCTCCAGCACAGCACAGATCAGCCAACAGCACCACGCAGGTGCCCAACAGCACCCAGCAGCCTGGGGCAGGAGCCAGACTGCCTCCTGACATCACCTGTGGTATCAGATGATCACAAGAGGCTCTGCCACCCATCTCGGTGAAGTCTGCCAGCCGACCGAATCACTCGCTTCATGAAGGTGTGCAGGAACTGCAGGAGTAGCCGGCCATGTAAATACGGGAATAAACACCAAGTTATGTACAAGGCATTGTACAAAGCGGAAAGGCTTAAAAGCAAACAGAAACTTGAAAGTATTTTAAGAGCATGTACTTGGATTTTTAAGACTCTGACTGCCATTTTTAAAGCAGAAGATACACAAAGTCACCTGCAGAGACCTCAGCTCTCTCTAACAAGTTCCCCATCACAGCTCACAGCACCAGTTCTTTACGCAGTGTGCAGATGCTAACTGCAGCAAGAGCATCTAAGCAAACCCTCTGAGCCCTCTGACTTACATTACCAGTTATAACACAGAGCATCAGCTCCCCTTTGCCAGCCTGGTGGCAGCTTCAACCAACATGCTTTGTACATGAATTTTCACCTATCCTTGATTTCACTCACTCGCTGTTTATTTCAGAAACCTGGTAAGGTGTGTGGGTGTCTGTCCTTGTATCTCACAATAAATAGAGTCCCTAACTCCAGGTACAGGCAGCCATGCTGGAAGCAGTATGCGTTGTGTATCAGATCCTTAGCATTTCTGGACCACCCATTTGAGTGCTAATGCAGAGTATTTGAGGATCTCCATATAGACCCATTTATAATGAAAATATTGAATAGCCAGCGTGTGACCAAGTTCTGGGACATCTAGATTTACAGGCCTGTTACTAAGCTACATGCCCCCCATATCCATTTGGTGCTAGGATGATTTGTCTCCCTCTTATTTTTCCAAACAAAAGGCAAACACTGACAGCAGTGGGTGTTTCAAAACTGCAAAAAGGAGAACTCGTATTACACTAAGAAAAAATTCAGAGTAAGAACTGACAATTTGCCACAGTCTGCTACTACGTGGATGCAGAAATAAGGGCGGTATTTTTCAGGAGAACAAAAATCCTTTGAGTTTATTTTTTTGTGTTTTTGTTTTTTTTAAGAACGCAGTTACTAAAAAGGAGAAGTGAGACAACAAATAACTATGACTGTCACACTGTCTTCAGCAGCCTGGCTTTCTGGGAATAAAGAACTGCAACAGAAGGTCAGTATTAGCAGTCTCACATTTTGCTAAGTAAGTTTTGTTTTTCACAAAGCAGATGTCCCAGACAGAACCGCATTTCTAACTTTCCTTCCAAGACACCAGAACATCACCACAGCTCACTCTCTTTAGCACTCCTGTCTTTGTTTGCCTACAGTATCCCAGCTTCTACAGAAGAGCTCTTTAATGCATACAACTAAGCAGCTCCCGACCCACCGACCTCCTGCTTCCACTTCAATACACATCAGTTTGCAGGAGCACTGTCCTCCAGGACAGATAAAATGCAGACCTACCGACTCCAAAAGGGTTAGTTCTCAAGATAACTGCTAGGCAAGCAGCCGTGATTGACCTTCCCCCCAGTATTTCTTCTGGTTACAACAGAGAGCAGAACACAGAACCGTCACAGCCAAGCTCCTGGTGACATCTGGATGTCATCAGAAAAGGTGAAGATGAGGTGGAAGCAAACAACACGAGCACATCTCCAAGCTTGGGGTCTTCCTCTCGCTTTCAGGAAGGCTACAGCCCAGGTCAACAATTACCTGACTCAAACTGCAGTTAACAAGTGATGTAGGAGAGGCTGGGTGTCTCAAACAACAGGTCTGAGACATCCCATGGTATCATAACAATAACAATACTGACACAGGCAGTCCACCAGAGTCATATAGGGTTTATAGAGGGTAAATTGCAGGTGGCATATCACCAGAAAGCAACATTTGCTAATGCAAGTTGCCACAAAATTACCATCGTTTCCAGTCTAGTTACTATGTCATTACTACTGACAAAGTTAGAGTCAGGGATACAATCATTCCATCACCAAGGCAGATAACCTGCAAACACTAGAGCCAATTAACCTAGTATTTCTAGAAGGAGGGAGGGGGAAGAGAAAAGGAATTATGAGATGTCCAGTAACGAGAAGACAAAGCCTACCAAAAAGAAGCAGGTAAGGAAAGGAAGACAGTGAGATAACCAGTGAGACAAGACACAGACCCCAGGGAGAAAGAGCTGGAGTGGAGGAGCCCAGCCAGGGGATAAGGGTCTGCTCTTATCTCACGCCTAGCAAGTCCCTGGAGCATTACAGATTGAGCTTCCAGTCTCCCAAAATACTGGCTAGAAATCTTCAGCTCCTCTTTTATTTTTAAGGATGAGCACAATAGAAAGTAATATTTTTCTACCACATACCTTTAACAGTTCCTTCTTACTCCAACAAGCTTTCCTGTTACCTTCATTTCTACAGACCAGTGTGCCTGATGGGACAAAGACACTGGTCCTGCATCTTACAACTTTTCAGCCAAAGCCCCAAACATTTTTGCAGTGCCCCAAGGCTCTACATCAGCATGGGGCAGTTCTGAGCAATACTGGGGTACACACCACAGACTCACAGGCATACATCCAAACACATCATTTTCTGGTATGAGTAAATGTAAGTTTACAAGGTCTGAAGGTTTAGAATAGTCATGGCCATCCCCTGTTCTTCCACTGCTATTTCTCCCTACTTTACTTTGCCCTGCCCCAGTACACATCCACACAATATATAGGATTTTCTCCCCGATCTTTAAGTAGAAGCAAAGAAATCAGTGTGATGGAGCCTCACCCTCATCCACATGCAAATCCATCACAACAAACCCCTCGTCTTAGAAGTCAGTCAAACGGTCTGGTGGCTTCTCTTCCTCAGTACATACCTCTTTAACTAATTTTAACTAATGATTTCAAAAGAGCTGTTCTGGGTTTTGCCTCAAAAATCAGCCTTTCAATTCATCTGATCATCCTCTCCTATAGTGTTATCCATGCAAATTAAAAGATGTAATTATGAACAAATCTCCAAGATCAATTAGAACAAGTGAAGCAAAATTGTCTATGAATATGGCAATGGGCAACTCCAAAACAAAGTAAGAGAGCAGGCAGGGAAGGCACCTAACTCAGCAGACAATGGATCATACCACAGGTTATCAGTCTCAAGAGGAAAGCAGTTTCAAAGCATCACAATGAGCTGCATACTCTTCCATTAATAGTTTTGCCAAATTACTTAAGGATTATACTAATTTGTGCCTGCATAGAACTTGAATTTAGAAAACGATTAGAATTTCAGAAATCCTTTCAAGAGAAGATGCTTGCAGCAAATTTTTAATGCCAGTTCTGCTAACATGAACTAATTCCACACAGATCACAAGTTCTCCTTTTCCTGCTGATATGCAGAAAGTCTTTGCTTCAGGCTGCGCGTCGCCTTTCACGTAAAGGGCTGTAAGGCCTTCCCACAAACCATTAGCACGTGTGCAGGGGAGGCGAAAGATTTAAGACAAACCCTGGAATTGACAAGAAGGCAAAACCAGACCTCTCTACTCTTGCACAGAATCGTTTCTCCTTCAGAGGAGCTCCTCAGAGCAGGAAAACACACACCAGAGTTCAGATACACTCAAGGAACAGCAGCCCTCGAACATTCCCTCTTTCCATTGCTAGCCCAACAAAAACACTAAGATCTCAGTTACACTTCAACTGTTTAACAAAGAGGCTCCTGGGCCAACAATCAGAGTGTGCTTACAAGAGATGCCTTTTGACTAATGGCTCCCCCAAGAAGGAAAGAACACACAAGGTCTGCTGCCCAACACAGAGGCCTGACAGACATTTCAGGTACCACTGGCCAGTTTTGTGCTTTGGGTCTACAGCTCAGCCCTTCTTCTGAGTGCTTCAGCTGCCTTCCCTTCTAATTATACTACGGATGGTATAATTTAAAGAAAACTTACAGCTGTGAATTAATGCTGTGTGTGAATACTCGGGCTCCAGTCAATGAAACATTTTGAAGGGCGGCACATCGGCAGCATTAACTATTTAAAAGATCAGAAACAAACGGCTCTTTCCAGCACTGGCAGGAACGGTTCGAGCTCCCCAGCAGCGCTGCCCCACAGCGCGGACTGCCCAGCCGCAGGCCCGGGAGCCGCCGGGGCAGCGCTGCAGGCTCGGCCCGGTGAGGAGCTCAGAGCGGCACCGAAGGCCGAACGGAAAGAAGAACCGCTCTGCAAAGGCGGTGCGTCCGGACAGCACAGAACCGCCCGCCTTCCAGGCCAAGCGCCGCACGCCTCCCTGGCGCCCCGCTTTACCCCCGCGACCGCCGCCGCTCGCCTCCAGCGCTGGGCCCGGACCGCGGGAACCTCCCGAGCGAGGCGGCCGCGCTGCCCGGCCAGGGGCCGCTACCGAGGGCGGCTCGGACGGAACGCGGCAGCCCCCGCCGGCGGCTCGGCCCCGCCCGGCCCCGCTCGAGCCCGCGGCTTCAACCGAGGCTCCGAGGCTCCCCACGGACCGCCCTGCGCGGCAGCTCCGGGCGAGGCTGCGGCTCCCAGCCGGGCCCGGCGGCGAACACCGCCCGCGGAACCGAGAGACGCCTCGCCGTCAGGGGGCGGCGGCGACGGCCGAGGGGCCGCCGAGGGGCAGAGCGCGGGTCCCGCCCCGCCCCGTCCTGTCCCCGCGGGGCAGAGCCGCGCCGCGGGTCACTCACCGCCGCGATCCCGGCCAGCCTGCGGAGCTCCGCATCACTTCCGGGGGCGAGCGGTCAGCTGGCGCCGTGACGTCACACGGCGCGCCCGGCGCCGCGCGCACGGTGAGGGCTGGGGCGCCGCCGACCGCGTCCGGCGCGGCGGAAGAGGACAGGAGAGGGAAGCCGAGCCGCGGCGCGAGGGCAGAGAGCGCGGCCTGGAGGAGCTTCTGCCAGAAGGTAAAGCGGGCGCTGAGGGCGGGCGAGCCGGCGCAGGGGTGAGGCAGAGGGAAGGAGTGGCGGGAGGGCGGGGGCGGGGGCTGGGTCCGCCCAGTGCGGGGCAAGGCCGTCCCGGCCGCCAGGGGGCAGAGCGGCGCCCGCGCCTGCAGCGCCCCCACGCGGTCCGGCGGCTCGGGTAGGGCGGGGCCCGGCACCTTGTGGCTGCTGCGGCGCCGGCGGTGCTCGGAGCCCGGCTGGGGAGGCTCGGGGCCTCTCGGTCCGGCTGGGGCGGGGCGGAGCGGGGCTGAGCTGGGCTGGGCGGTCTCCCCGCTTCCTCCCGGCCCGCGGCGCTCCGCCGTCCCCCTGTGTCGGCGCTGGCGGTGCCGGATGCCGGGCCCCGCCGCGCCCCGCCCCTCGCCGCGCGCTCCCCGCAGCACGACGCGCCGCGTTCCTCCGGAGCGGCCGAGGAGCCGCAGCAGCGCGGACCGCGGCCGGGAATCAGCTGCCGCACCGCGGTGCTGCGCCGCGCGGGAGGCGCTCCGAGCGGAGCCCCGGGCCGCCCGCTGTGCGCACGGCGCTGCTCGGCCCCGAGCGGGGCGATGGAGGAGCGCGTCCGTGAGCCGCGGATGGGCTTTGCGGCTCCGCCTCCGGGTGTTTGTGAGCATCGTGCGGGGTGAGCGAGGCCCGCGGGGAGCCGAGCTGTGCACTCTCTGCTGCGTGTGTTGCACTGCGTTAAAACCTCTTCCCTTTGTGACTAACAGAGCTAAATGTGAGAAGGCATTTCTAAGTCTCTGAAATGATGAGCTGCACGATGCTAGGGGCGAGCTCACCGTGCCGCAGAGTTCACCTGAATTCTGCTGGCTTTGTAACAGCTAATTAAGGGATATTTAAAGAAGCTTTTTTCCTGTTTCCTTTCCCCACTGCCTCTCCACAGCTGTGGTCAGCATTGGTATTCCTTCTGAGGCTGGCAGAGCGCGCTCTGCCCCTCATGCAAACCAGGTAATGTCTCAACAGCCTCAGTCAGAGGGAATGAAAGCTGTCATCAAAAAGGATGAGTTAAGGGTTTCCACTTTTGTTTATTCAAATAAAGAGAATGTCATAGAATCCTCATTTTATGCAATTTCACTTGTTTGAAGTTGCCCTCACTCTTACTACTTAATTCCATTCTCGTTGTGTTCTGTTTCCTTTTTCTCACCAAAAGGCAACACCAGCAGGCAGCCCCTTTCTCAGAGGGAGCTGAAAGGACAGCCAGGTGCAGGCAGTGCTCCCAGTGCAGCTGATGGGCAGCACAGGCACAGAGACTTCAGCTGTGTGTTATTTGGTGTTTGAAACCACTTCAGCCTGCCAGCAGCAAGGTACTGGCATTACAAATTATACAGTCACTTGAAAGCCTCCTTGCTTTCTTTCTGGTGTCAGATGACATGTCAAATAATCAGATGATGAGAAACACTTGGAATCAAATTGGTCTTCAGTGGAATTTTATTGAAATGTGCAGGTTTGTATTGCTTGTGGAAATGAGGATGTAGTGTGGAACACTGTGATCTTCCAGCTTAGTTCATTTTTCACCATGTGACACCGGAATATTTTAGCTGTGATGGAAGTTTTACTATTATTTGGTTTTGTCTGAATCTATAAAAGAAAAAGGTGTGAATGTTCCACTAAGAGCGAAAAGCAGTGGAAATCAAACACAGTTTTTTGCCAGGTACAGACTGCAGGCACGTTGCTGTCACAGATCACCACGTCTCTGATTTAAGTAAGAGAGAACAGAATTACTTTTATGGAAGGTGAATTCTGGAATTCAGTGTTGCTGGAAGGCAGCTCAGTGTGCAGCAGTCACAGAGCCTGGGCCCTCCTCTCCCTGACCCACCACAGTGTGCCAGAGAAACGTGCCTGAAGGGCAAGTATGGATTGCTGACCTCTTGTTGCTGTGGGTAGGTGTGAAACGAGCGTTATTGCTGTGTTAGCAGCAGGAGATGAGTTGCTTAGCTGAGTGCTATCATTTGGCTATGCACAGGTTTTTGCATCTCTTAAAATAAATGTTAGCTGAGGGGTGCATTTAAAAATATGAGATATAGATTCTTGAGCAGGCTGAAGGTGATCATATTTTATACCATAATGTTCATGCATTATGCTTTTGAATTATGTCACTTCATTCCACAGTCAGCCCAGCAATGTAGCAGAGCAACCTTGCCAGTAGTGACCTAGGTGTCAGGCAGAGGTGTACTGCCGCCGGGTAAAACATTTCGCACCTGAGAAGTTCAAACTTTCCTTATTAGGAGATTCCATGCAGCATTCTGTTCCCTGCCTTCTCCTTTGGGCAGGTATGCTTTCAGCATCATCATTAAGCATCTGTGTTCCTAATGCACCCCTTAGTTAGCTTAGCTAGATCTTAGTAAAGATCTGTTGTTTTGAAATATCCATTTTTTCCCCTATGAGATTTCACCCTTTGTTCCCTAAAGCCCTCCTTGCGCTTGCTGCTTGCAGATTTGATGTTTAAAGTGCGTAGCTAATGACTGACTTGTAAGGATGACATGAAAAAGACATACAGTACGTAGTACGGCGGAGGAGCCGTGCAGTAGGAAAGGGCTGCCCACACTGTGAATTCGCTGCTCGCCAACAAGTGTCCATGCCGCTTGGCCCCCATCCTGCCTCTGACACTGCACTGCTGGTGTCACCTCACAGTGCAGCTGACAGATTCCCTTCCTTGTTTTTGTATGCACTTTTATTTAAACTATGCAAACTTGCAAATAGCAAAAGAAGATAGGTGTTTTACTGGTTATTCAGGCCATTGAGCTTTTGCACTGACCATCCAAAAAGCAAAGGCATGTGTTTGTTTCTTGAAATAGAAGCTTGCTTTTACCTTTTGGTAGAGTCTAAAGGACTACTTGTTTTAGTGAACACAACAAAAAAAATTGCACTTCCATCGTGCAGTAACTCCTGATAAGCTCAAGGCACCTTTGCAGCTTTGGGAACAATGGGACACTTGGAGCGCTTGACCTGCCTGTTGATAATGGGTTTGCAGGTAGATGAAAAGAAGGACGCAGCCCCACTGGTCAGGGCTGTGCCTCAGCATCCAGCAGTCACTTCCTGGGGGGGCTTGCTGACTCACCAGCCCTGAAGCAGCCTGCACCCTGCCCCCCTGCTTGTCACACCGCAGACCCACCTTCAACCTCTCCTTGTTTGCTCTGTTGCAGTAAACACCTGAGATTTGCTCAGCAAATGATATAGCTCTGTACACCATGACAAAAGCACCTGTGGGTAACATCTCTGGGCTGCATTTCACAGTGGCACCAGTGGTGATCACCGTGAGATGCACATTAGTGGGAAAGTGCTGTAACATCCACTTTGCGTTCCAGAGCTGTGAAATATAATTATGATGTAATTGCCAAGGATGTAAGCAGCGTGATGAGTAATTAAGAGGACATGAAATCCTTCCTTACCCTCCTTTCTGTCCCACTCAGAGTCATTCTGCACACCCACAAAACTAATACAAGTAGTGTCACCTGCAGAATTGCACTAATACGTGACTTTCTTCCTTACGCTTCTGTCAGTGTTTGTTACAGTGTTTGTAACAAAAAAAATGGATCCCTTCTTCACATTTTAGGTTGAAAGTAATTTTGCTCTCTCTGTGGAATCACTCCCTGATGCATTCTGAGATCAGAGTCTGACCCGTGCTTTGAATTTTGTCCTGTCTGCTCTTGGCCCTGGAGGAGGAGGCACGGAGCTCCTCACACCATCAGGGATCTGTGCAGGAGCTGTGGAAATCATTAACTAAAGGCAGCTGTGGGAGGAGGTGGTTGCTTAGGGCATGTGGAAGTCTGCTTGCCATGTTTATCACCCTGCATGTGCAGGAAGGAGAGCAGTGCTGCAGCAGGGGCTGTGCGGCCCTGTGTCCCTTCCAGCACCAAGACATTGCAGAACAGAGATGTATATTCCAGGGGGAGAAGAGGAAGCAGACAGTGGCAGAAAAGAATGCTGCTCCTAAACTTCCAGACAAAATCTTAACAAACAGATTCTTTGTGATTCTTTTTAAGATCCAGAAGTATAAATTGTGATTACAGCTCTGAGATACAGGTCCTGAGCTATGGCTGCAGGAACTTGATGTAATTGGAATATCTATTCAAAATTTAGTTTCCCCTGAAATTATTCCTCTTATTTTTCTTTATGGATTATGTGAAAACCTAAATGGAAGCTCTCCAGAGCACACTCCCATTTATTAGCACTGGGGAGCTGCAAGTGTGAGCAGCTCCCAGAGAACACCTGGGAACTGAAGCAGAGGGTGAGGCTGTGGTGTGGGACTCAGGCTGTGGGGCAGCCCTGTAACTGAGCTGCTGCTGTTTGGAAAAGAACACAGCAGGAAGCAATGATTTCTAAGATACAAATGCATGTGTGGTTCTGTGTATGATTGATTTTATTTCTTTCCCCGAATTGGAGCTGTAGAGTGAATAAAGTGAAGCATTTGTTCCGAAGTGATTGATGAGCTGGGGCTGCCTGTCTGTTCTATTTTAGGTTCTTGCTCCCTGGAAATAACCTACATATTTACTAGAAATAATTTCTGCTGGCTAAGAGAAATCATTTTGTATGTGGAGGAAAATATATGGTTAGGTAAATATTTTAAAATATGGAAATACAAATGTTCTCTTAATAATCAGACAAAGAATTTCATGTCTGTATTTAAGATCCTCAGCAGAGTTTATGAAACAAGGAGCTTTCAGGTGATGGTGATGCTTATAGCAGAACAGGCTGGGAGTGAAGTATTGGGAAGTTTTAGCCAAAAGCACGGAGCACCGAATTGTGTCTTTGGGTCAGCAGCTGTGTCTCTACATTTGGTAATGGCAGGTGCCGTGGTGGAATCATCTCTCAGAGCTGCACGGCCTCATCCTGAACACTCTTTGCTTTCCCCAGTAACAGGAATTACCACAGACTACAGGGAGGTGAAACATCCAAGCTGCCCAACCTCTTGCAGTAATGTGGGGGCATGTGTTAGGAATCAGATTCTGCAGTACACCAAGGTGATGGAAGGCCTTCTCTTCCCAGAGGACAGCGGTCACCCTGCTCCTAACTGCTGTGGTCTGATGTCAGGGTACATCCAACAACTGGAGCTCCAGGTTGGCAAGTAGGTCTCGAGATAGCCCAGTCAGTACTGTGCTCAGCATTCACTCCTCATTGCACTCACGCACTTACTGTGCAGCGCTGCTGCATTGTCCTTCAGGGACAGTAAAATACCTTTGACAATCCCTAAAGTCATCATTTTGGTGAATCCAATGCAGGTGCAGGATCTGTCTTTGGGGAAGGAGCAGTGCTGCAGCTCCTGCAGTGGGTTTGTCTTGGGGATGTTCATGGTCTGGGCTGGAGTAGTGGCACTGCTTACACGACAAAATACTCATTTACACAGAACGAGAATGGGATTTCATTCTTCATTTCTGACACAGATTCTTGGCACACCTGGAGTGTGTGTTCAGTAGGTAGCCAGCTCTCCAAAAACTGGGGCTTCTGGGACTTTCCTAAACTCATTGTCGGTCTGCCTCCTGCGGTGCTCAGATAACATTGCTTTCATCACCTCTTCATCACATCAGACTCTGGCTGAATCATTGCTACGCGCTGCAGTAGCACAGTGAATGAGCTGCTTTGCATCTGGCACCGATGCTGGTGTTCAGCAGTGCTGTAGTGCTGTCTTCATGTGCTTGACTCACAGATCTGAAGGCACTGGCACAGACAGGGTCAGTGTTGTTACAACACAACAGGGACACCTCAGAGTTTCGGTGACTCGCCCAATGCCTGTTGCAAAATAGCAGTGAAAGAAAACGTGGCTGTTCCTGAGCCGGTGTTTGATTCAGCAAAGCGCTGCAGCGAGCGCTTAACTTCAAGCAGGAGCTCAGGCTGCCTGCACTGGGGCAGATGTAAGTCTCAGTGCCAATATTTTGCTGGACTGGGTCTTCAGGTTTCAACAGCTAATTTATTTTTACAGCTATTTCAGTTCTTTCTTTGGGTGGTGGAAATACTCTTAAGCCAATTGAATTGTGTAGAAAAACAGAACACGTGGTGGTTTTTGACATACACTGGGGCTTTTGTGGTGTTGGTTTGTTTCAGATGACAGCAGTCACACGACAGGAAGTGCTGGGCCTTTACCGCAGGGTATTTCGGATAGCCAAGAAATGGCAGTCGGCATCGGGACAGGCAGAAGAAACTGCTGCAGAGAGGGAGTACATTATAAAAGAAGCCAAAACATTGTTCCGAAAAAACAAAGAAGTGAGTGTCATTGCAGATTTCAATTTCTGGCTCCTTTCGTTGTGCTATGCGCGCTCCTTGTGGCTGGATGCCAAGGTGTGGATATAAGAAATGGTTTCCCAAATTTCCTTCACCATAAATGCTGGTACAAACACATTCCAAGGTGCATTTGAGTTACAGTTTATTATTTCAGGGGTGAAATTTAGTAAGAAAACTCAAACCCTCTGAGATCTCCATTAACTCTTGAGGAAGGCCAAGCACGTCACCCGATGAGCACTGCCTGTGCTGCATGCTGTGCTGTTTGGTGAGTTGATCCAACCACTGCCAATAAGGACTCAGCCATCTCCAAAGGAAACAGAGCCCCCAGAAATGAAGAATTATGGTTGAAGGATGAGTGTTCAACAAGAAATGGACAGAAGAGTACTTTTTTGCCAAGGCAGCTAATATGGCACTGCTTGATTTGCAAGGAAATTGTCTGATTTGAAAGACTACTGTTTGAAAAGTCATTACGTGCAAACACATGCTGCAAATTCAGTGCATGCCAAGGAATGTTTTGTAAAGACAAAAAGCAGAACTGAAAAAAATGTCTTCTCAACATTTTTTTTCTAAAGTTACACCTTAGATGGACTCTAATATAAAAGCTTGTTATGCAGTAGCAAATCTGATAGCAAAAACATCACACCCACTGACTGGTGAGTTTATTGAGCAATGGGTGGAAAGTGTGGCAGATGCAATTTGTCCTGATTAAAATCCAGTTTTCTAACATTGGTTTGTCTCACCAGACTTTAGCCAGGTGAAGTAAAGAAACAGGAACATCTATCAAAAGAAATTTGGAGGGTAGAGCTGCTAATTTCAAATTCTAAGCTTTAGCGATAGATGAAGGTGCTGATGCTACAGCTATGGTTCAACTTGTTGTTTTCATTTGAGGCACTGATAACAAATACAATGTCACTGAAGAAATGGCTGCTTTGGTGTCACTAAAAGACACAACTCAATCTCTTGATTTGTATGAAGCTGTACATACTTCATCGAAGTGATTTTCTTTAACCTTTGTCAACATATCTGGTACAGCTACTGATGAAACCTGGCAATGTTTGGTAAAAAAAAAAAAAAAAAAGGAAAAAGAGGGACTTAGAAAATTGATAACTTATAGCAGGACTCTGAAAGCTGTGCCTTCTATTGGAGCTAGCTCTGATTGTTGGTGGGATGGCAGCAGAGGTTGAACCTTCCCACCAATACTCTATTGCTTTTTATTGCTGTGTGACAGATCTGACAGAATGGGGCAGTCTGACAGAATGGTGTCTGACATGGAAGTGTGGATGAAGGACAGTGGTTTCACTGAACTCCTCCACCTGGAAAAATGGTACCCACTGACATTTATCAATGCTTGTGAACAGTGATAGAGATTTTTCTTTACCAAATAGTGTTACTTTGTTCTTTGTAGCTGTTTTGTTTCCTTGAAAATAATTAGGAGGTCACAGTGCCCTCTGCTGCCATCTGTCACATGGTAACAAAATGAAATAGGAGGCATTACTTCTGGAGCAGGCATTGTAGTGCAATTCAGGACTAAATTCAGCTGATGTAAAAATTACAGTTAAGTGCAGATGAACACCATGTTTCTGACTTCAGTGTGAGTTTCAGGAACAGAATGGCACTCATGTGTCACCCTTCTCTTTCCCTTTCTGCCTTGTAGCATGATGAAAGCTTGAGTGTGGCTTTTCATGGAGGTAGTGGTAGTTTATGCATGTATTGTCTTTTTTACAGAGAAAACACCAAATTTGAATAAAGCCCTCTTGTACTCTCACAGTCCTGATAGCCTCTGGATACTGCTACTGAGTGCCACTGAGCTCAGAAGTACAGATGTGAAAAACTCTATCATCGTATCCTTGGAACTGCAAAGAGGAAAGGAAGGAAAAAAGAAGGCTTGAGTTTTGAAATGCTGATTTTTGTATTTGTACAAAATATTTATTTTTAACTCTCTGTTAACTTAGGTGACGGATCCGAAGCTGATTAAGCAGTACACAGAAGAATGTGAGGCAAGAATAGAAATTGGACTTCACTATAACATCCCCTACCCAAGACCTGTGAGTATGTCTGTTCACCACAGGTGCACTTCATTAGCTTCCACCTGACACTCAACTCATAAACCCATACTACTGTCATCAAGCCACACATCCCACCTGTGTTCAGGTGCTCTGCTAAATCAGAGCCAGGTAAGCCAGGTGCATGCAGACACTCTCTCTCACCTTGCTGTAAGTCAGCTCGTTTCCTCTCTAGGAGTTGTTGTTGTGGAGAGGAGTTCTGGGGACTGTCACTGTGTGAGCAGCTTCACTGCTCAATGGATTGCAGAGAAAGATGGTAACAGAACTATATCCATTTGTTCATCTTTTCACGTAACCAAGAGACTAGAACAGAATAAAACTATTTAATTACATGATATGTGTCATAGACCTAATCACTTTCATGGCCTGTGCTGCTTGTAATATTCTCTTTGGCATAGATCAGGTCTTAGAAAACACCTTCCTGCCTTGCTGCTTCTTCTCACCTGTCCCTAGAGAAAAACCTGCCTAAGATTAGTGAAGATGCAGCAATGTCATCTGTTGCACCAGGCAATATAATTTCCTCAGTGTCCAGCTATTCCTGTCCACCTTACTACACACTGCCTCCCACGCTGCCCTACTAAAGGCACTGCCTTTGTTCTGCTGCTGATTAGTTTACATGTTCACATCAAGAGTTTACTTACCAAGGTGGTTGTGGTCCAAATTAATTTGCATCTTATTGGATGCTTGCCTAAAGTATCTTCACTTTTAGCATGTCTTGCACATACAGCTTGCTCTTTTTCTCCACTGTGCAGAATAACAGTGAGTATCTGGCAAGCTGTGATCCTAGAAAGGAGCATCAGAACATATGCTTTGCATCCACTTCAAACCCTTAAGGGATAGTCCTGTGTCAGTGCTCTGATACAAACTAAGCCATCAGTACCTTTATTACTATTTGCACTTAAAGCACTGTCTTAAAGGGTGAAGCTCCAGCAGCAATAGCATATACTGCTGACAGTGACCTTTCTTCCATCACTTGGGGGCGTACAGCTGTGTGACTCCCATTGTATAAGGACTCTCAGGCAGAGGAGAAGCTGTTACCTGTTGCCCCTTCAGTTTCTGGAACCAATGACACTGTCTGTGCATTTTTGTATGGCATATATGATGATGACAGTAAGAAGGCAGTCTTTCAAGACACAGATGTGGCTTGCTGACTAGGTATGAGGAAAGCATACTGCTTTCAGACTTCTGCTCAGGAACTTAACAGGTTTTCTGTGTCTTGCTGTTCTGGAATACTGCTTGCAGACATATTTCAGCAATGTTATTGTCACAATCTAATTTCAAATTGCAAACCAGAATTAACAAAACCTCAAATATATAGGATTTTCTTAAACCCAATGTTTAAGGACAGAGTCATACCATTGAATACTCCTCAGAAAGTTCTTTGCCAGAAATCTAATAACCTGACTTCAGACAAAGTCAGGTTTCCAAAGAGTGAAGGAATTATTGAAAATTCAATGAAATGTCTGTGTATATGCTTTTTTTTTCTTTCTTTCTTTCTTTTTTTTGTTTTCTTTCTTTTTTTGTAACATCTCCTTCTGCACCTGACTGGTAGGATTTTCTTTTCCAGATCCATCTGCCTCCCATGGGTCTTACCCAGAAACAAGGCCGTACATTTCGACACCAGGAAAAGTTGAGGAAGATTTCTAAGCCAATATACCTGAAATCCCATGATGAAATTTCATAACCCATCATTTCAGCTGTGATGTGTTGGGATTGTAGTGCAGGTGGTTTGTGTGTACAGCTGTGAATGAAGCTGTTCTAGTCACTTGCTCCCACATCACCTGAGGCCTCACCAGAAAGCCATGGATATGATGCACACGATGGCCAGAGCTGGGCTGGTATTTGCTACCGTTCAGCCACTGACTGATCAATAAAAGTGGCACTTGGCAAGGAGTGAGGTGTGATACTTCAACATCAGGACAAATTACAACAGTTTATCAAATCCTCTTAATCCATAGCAGGATTATTCTGTTGTTTGAGGATTATATATGCTCAGTTATGATTCAGGGCAAGGGTCAGCAAAAAGAAATGTGCTGGTTTCATAGTACCTTTATGGTGCAGTGTATTTTCTAAAGAGACAGTAGCAAAGGGATGACAGGGATGAAAGGGATTTCTTTTTTTGCAGACTGCTCAGCAATAGCCAGAGCCTTTGTGTCAGCTCCTTTCCCCCACCCTTTGGAGAGGAGGTGGATGTGAAATTCCATGTTTGGAATTCTGATACGGAACAAAAAGCAAAACACTCTGTGTTGCGTTGCTCTTGTTCTCATGTAAGAACTGACTGCTTCCCCTCAGGGTATTGCCACTGGTGAAGCTTAAGCTAGTTGTGGAATCTCTGCATTTTCACATGGTGAGCCTGCCAACAAAACTAGCATCTCAGCCTTCTCAGCAGATACTGCAGCATTAGATTTTAACCTAACGCTGTGGACAGAATCACATCATTAAAATAAAAGAAACTTTTCAGTTTCCTAAATTCAGAGAATATTTCTGTTTCTCAGGTGTCCTACGAATGGAAGTGAGATGACAGCTCTTTTCCCCTGGCCCCAATTACTTTTGCTCTGTTTGAGCTCTCTGCTTCCCAGATCTCTGTAGGCAAGTTGGCAAAGCCTTCCCTGCTTCAGGCTGGGAGTAGTGATGAGGCCAAGTAGCCAACAAGAGCCATGCTGTGCTGGGAGACATCCTGAGCACAGCCCACAGCTGCTTGAAGGACAAGAGGCATGAGCTACGGCTTCTCCAACCAGAAGTTAGTGGTGGCATAAAAGCACATTTGAACAATGCAGTGTGTATTATTTTCTATTAATGTGGGCAGAACTCAATGAAATCTCATTTTCTCAGCTCTCCAACTGTTCCTGAACTCTCCAAATCCTAACAGAAAGAGGGACAAAGAGATATTCTTGTCTGTCTTAAAAATAGGTTTAAACTGATGACGTATGAAACAGAATGACACGTTGCCCCAGGAATGTACTTAGAAGAATGAAAAATTATCATTTCAGGCAGTTGAGAAAGTGCAAGGGAACAAGGAGGAGAGCTGGTCAGTGTGACAGGCACTGCCCAGCCCAACTTCTGGCTGCCGTTAATGGCTCCAGCCCACAAAGGTATGTGTTCCCAGGTTGTTACTTCCTGGGAATGCCTCATGGAAGAAGAACCCTGCACTGAACATGTAGAACTGTTGTTCTGCCTGTCCATGTGGACTCTGCCAATTCCTACTGCCAGGAAAACACAAAACTCAACTCCCTTCGTCTAGGAAGAGGGAGATGATGGAAGTCAGAGACAGTAAGAAATAATATGATTATACACTGCTTCATCCTTCAGACTGTTCTCCTGTCCTTAGTTCTGATATACCAGTGTAGGGAGATATTAGCTGAGCAAACCAAAATCACAGAATTGTAGAATCACCAAGGCTAGAAATGGTGGGGAGAGAAGGATTTTGAATGGAAACTTAGGCACGTTCTTTGTCATGAAATTATGGCTTGAATTTTTTTAATTTCAACAATTTGTATGGCTAACAAAAATCCTGCTGCTGTGACTCACCAGGCAAATAAATGGTTGTGTAAACGAGTGCTCTGATTTTACTGCCTGTGTTATAGTCACAACTCTTTCCTGAGTGAGCATCCATCCCAAAAGTTGCAGACTTACATCAAATGGAAGTCACAGTATGAGTTTAGTTCTGAGGGGAAGGAGAACCAGCCTCAAAAGTGCTGCACTGGGGAGGTCAGAGGAGGCAGATTTCTCAGACAGCACTTGTATTAAATTCCAAGGGCCTTGCAAATTCTGTGAAGTGTTCCTACACATTAATTTTAATTGCAGGAAGATGCTGTCCTAAAATGCCTCCTAGTTCCCGAGAGTCTGTGATGCACTGGATTCCTGCACTTCTTCAACTCTCCTTTACTCTCCTTCCAGTAAATTCTGCCTGTTCCCTGTGCATCACTCTACTCGGAGGGTCTGAAAGCAGTTTAGAATAACAACCCTCAGGTTCACTTGATATTATTTCTGAAGGAAAGCTGAGCCAGCTGTCTGGCAACTGCAGCTGAGCAGGTTGGCAGTGCAGGTGTGGTTTGTGGATACGGCATCTGGCCTTGAATATCTGAATGCCTTCTTTTTGGAAATCCTCACTCCACCAACAGAAAGGTTACAGTTAGCCAAGGACTTTGGAGACCAAACTGTGCACTAATGTTAGCAACGAGCATATCAGTGCATCTCAGACATGGCACCCACTTATCTGGTGTGCCCAAGCTGCATTGCCAGGGGTGAAAAAACTCTCCTTACTTCGTGGCAGTGATGTGATCTATTCCAAGGGAAGTGTCACAGCAGTGAGAAGGAATAAGTCATCTGATGTATCCTAGTGATGCATGTTTGCTCCTGTAACACAGTTAGGTCCTGTTTATGGCCCCACTGCCATCGGTTACTGGCAGAACCGATGCCAGTAACATTCATCTTTTATCCACAGACAGAATGTCACTTATCTGATCGTACCTGTATGTTCAGTTTCAGAAATACAAATTACAGGAGGGACCTTCAAGATCAGCACCTGTCACTAATATTTCTATCCAAATATTCTAGCTTACAGGAGCTTGTCAGAAGAATCTGGGGCCTTTTTGCCTTCTCATTGTATCATTTTCTCTTTTCATAACCCAACAAGTATAGAATCAGAGGCAGTACTTTCTACTTCTGAAACATCTTTTTGTACAGAAAAGGTGTAAGAAAAAAGTTTGGTCTCCTGAGAAAACATTCTGGCACTGCCTGTTGTGCAGCATCCCGCGCTGAACTGCCCTCTGCTGTTTTTGAGGAAGGAATGCTTTTGTTCTGTAAATGCCTGTATACAGTATTCCCCTATCTGCCTTGAGTTATTAGTAAGGCTGAGAATTTAGATTTTCAGAAATTATAGATATTTTTCTCTTCTGTTTTGTAATAAGAGTTTCAAATTGAGAAATACTAAGCCTATAGATCCAGATATTCTGCTACTGCCATTACATGGAATTTCAGCTGTCCACCTTCTTTCCCATTTTCATAATGGAATTAAAGTCAGTCCAACTAATGGTGGGTTTTTTTGTCTGTTTTTTTTAAATGCATCTCGGGCAAGAAAGATTGTGAACTCCAATGTCTAACATGTTTATCAGGTTTATCTTTCTTCAGGAAGGTCAAGAGAAAGTTGGAAAATTCATTGAGTAATGGACAAGAAGCTGGACATGAGCCAGCAGTGTGCGCTTGCAGCCCAGAAGGCAAGCTGTGTTCTGGGCTGCATTAAAAGAGGAGTGGCCAGCAGGAAGAGGGAAGTGATTGTCCCCCTCTACTCAGCTCTCGTGAGGCCCCATCTGCAGTGCTGCATCTGGGCTGGGGCCCCCAGTACAGGAACAGCTGTTTATGAAGGTGGATGGTGATAGGACAAGGGGGAATGGTTTTACACTGAGACAGGGGAGGTTTAGGTTGGATATTAGGAGGAAGTTTTTCAGCCAGAGGGTGGTGAGGCACTGGAACAGGTTGCCCAAGGAGGCTGTGGATGCCCCATCCCTGCAGGCATTCAAGGCCAGGCTGGATGTGGCTCTGGGCAGCCTGGTCTGCTGGTTGGCGACCTGCACACAGCAGGGGGTTCAAACTAGTTTGAAAGTCTTTAAGGTCTTTTTCAAACCATGCCATTCTGTGATTCCATAATGGCAAGAATTGCAGAAGAATCTCTAGCAGTAAATTCCACTGCTTCTCCTCTGCAGTAAAGGCAGCCCACTACATTGCATACTTCTTCCAGATGTCAGTAATCATTCAGTAAAGCAACTCAGCTGCTCCTGACCCTCACAAAGGGGAACATAGCAAACTTGCTCCTCTAAAGAATACCCTTTTTTCTAAATGTTTGGTTTATCTCTATGGAACTTCATTTACATCTTTAAATATGTTCCCAGCCTGGAGAAACTCAGTCCTCCAGTTCTAAGTTCTTTTTTTCAGTGTTAGGAGCACAAAGTGAGTCACTGAGCCACTGAAGCTCAAGTCTAGATGGAGAGCAGAGCTCCTTCCCAGAGCAGTGGCAGTTCTGCTGCTCAGGGATGGGTCCAACTGGCAGCCAGTCGAGTGCTGAGCAGTTGGGCTGTGCCCAGAACCAACACATCTGTCACAGGATCATTAAGGTTGGAAAAGACCCCTGAGATCATCTAGTCCAACCATCACCTACCACCAATACAGCCCACTAAACCATGTCCTTAAGTACCACATCTACACATTTCTTGAACACCACTAGGGATGCTGACCACTTCCCTGGGCAGCCTGTTCCAATGCCTAAACACTCCTTCTGAGAAGAAATTCTTCCTAATATCCAGCCATTTAATAATGGCGTTTTTAAGTATGGCTGATACTTGACTCAGCTTTCCAAGAGCAAAGAAAATCAATGGGTGTAGGTAGGGAAGGTGACTATGTGCCTCTTGCCACCAGCCAGCTGCTGGACTGAAAATTTTCCCCATTTACTCACGTGCATAAAATTCAGTCATACTTGAGCAGATAAAATTCTGGAAGAACTAAGGCCGGAAACCATCAGTCTCTGATGACCAACTTTGCCATTGAGGCTACAAGACCTGCCTACAGTTACCCCTGAATCAGACCTAATGTAAAGCAGCTTGATACCATTACAGCAAAGCTATGCTCTCCAAGCACACCATGCACTAGCTGGTTAAACTTGGCTTTGCCTGTAGAGTAGAATTACAATGGGGACTTTGGTTGTAGAGGTTAACACCCGCTAACATCCCTAATTGGCAGAAATGTGTGAATAGCTGCAATGCTGTAGAGAAGCAGCTGGAAAGTAGAATATCATACAAACATCCATTATTCTAAAAATGATGGGGTTCTGAGCAGGGTTGTCACGGCTGCTACTTTTGTTGCATGCACCACACCCTATGTCAGACCTCCAGGTAACCCACTGCTGTTGTTACATCTTTCTTTGCCATGTAACATCCTTTCCTAATGACAGTTTCAAATGTACCCATGTTCAATGGACTACTGCTTCATACTGCACATACTGCACATGCAGCACAGCTGCATTGTGCTCTCCTTTTCCAGCCATTCTGCTTTAAGCCAGCTTTACCACAAGAAAAGATGCTTCAAGGAGACATCTACAGTTTCACCAGAGGAGGAAAAAGAAAAATGCAGCACAAAGAAGCTAGTCTAACAGTGAGAGAAATATCAAGAAATAGAAATGGTAAATCCCTTAGGGTGGATTTAAAAAAGCACAACTCAAGTTCATCTCCAAGCACTGCATTTTGTAATGAAATTACACTCCATATTCTTCCCTCGGGGAAAACCTGCTCCAACTAATCAGACCTTTGTTTTTTAAAGTTCAAAACAAAGGCAAGAAGGGCTATGCAGCATTCATGCTCCATTTAACTCTTTACAAGCAAATGATTGTAAATGATGAACCACAAAAAGCTGCTGTATGTCAATGCTGAAATAGTTCAAGATACTGAATGTTCTGCTTGATGCTTACAACTTAGAGCATCTTCACTCTGTCTTTTAAATCAGCCTTCTAAAGCTCCCCAGCACAAATCAAAAGGCTCTTCTACCCTTCTTCAACCCTCCAAAGCCTTAACAATGCCATCATTTCAGATGATGTCCCTCATGTTCATATCCCTCTGTCCCCTCTGATGTCACACTGGCCTCATTAGTATCTGTTGTTCATCTGATAATTGCAGTCAGATGCAGCTGTTCAAAAGCACGTACTGTATTTCAGCTAATGTTAATCATATTAAAAGTAGAAACCACCCCCATTAATTTCATGAAATCTAAGAAGACTGTGGTTTTAGAAGACCAGTTTTAATTAATCTTACCTTAATTACAGATCTTCTGAAACCTCGTTCTCATGAAAGGTTCTCCCTGCGGTAGCTGTGCAGGCACTGACGTACAGCCAGTTCTGTTTGAGGGGCCGAAGGCAGGGATGCTGTTGGTCTTTGTAGTATTTCCCAATCTTAATGGCTCTGTGATTCCATGAAAAGAAGATATTAGTGGATGCAGTGGTTTGTTAGTTGTTTTTTTTTTGGTTTTGTTTTTTGTTCTTATGTTTGCTTTGACCTCTGTTGTTCCCTTGTATTGCACATATCAAAATTCTAAGAATCCATCTTTAGTACAAAGATGATTATTAGTCTTACATGAGGCACAATGGACTGTGGGAGAAAGGAAACAGCTCCACTGATCAGGAACCTGGGGTAAGTATGTCATCAATACAAAAACTTAAAAGTTACTGCATGATGAGACAAGTGTGCTGCTCCAGGAAATGGCAGCTCCTTCTGCGTGTGCTTTCCAGAATTCTTCCATGGAAATTCTAATGCACATAGCTAGGCCCAATAGTAGCAGCAAGGTGAGGGAATGGCCTCAAGTTGATCCAGGGAGTTCAGGATGGGTATCAGGAAGCATTTCTCCTCTGGTCAGGAGCTGGAATGTGCTCTGCCCAGGGGGCTGGGGAGCCACTGCCCCCGGAGGGGTTCAAGAACTGCATAGATGTGGTACTGGGGGCCATGG